TTTTCACATTTATTTATTCTAGAAAAGTAAAGGAAAAAAAATTGGTTTAAGAAGGCATCCAAACAGATTATTCCTGACATCTGTTGGTGACATATTTATATACAATCCAATATTTTATTTTCATAAGTTTTTAGATACAAGTTTTAAAAAGTAAACTTTAAGGCTCAGAAAACCTATAACAAAGTAGAAATCTTATAAAGCATGTTTTTAATTTTAAGGTTCACAACTTTATGTTTAAATAAGTTCAACATAAGTGATCTTATATGTTACATATTTTTACAAGCAAACCTTAAAGTAAGTAGATTAGAGATAGCAAGGTCACCAGAARAAGATGCTTAAAAACCACAGAAATAAATATTCAGATACCAAGAAATACTACCCATTTATTGATTTATTTACACTAATCCCCTAGGGGCTGGGGTTGTAGCTCAGTTGCCTAGCATGCTTGATGCCTTGGGTTCAATCCCTAGCAATGCAAAACAAACAAGCAAGCAAGCAGCAACAACAGCAACAAAAAACCTAATTCTCCTCACTAATGGTTGTATATCTAAGAAATGAAATCATTATGTCAAAGAGACATCTGCATTCCTATTAATTGCAGCACTATTAACAACAGCCAAGAAATAGAAACAACCTATGAATAAGTAAAGAAAATGTGGCACATATATATCTTGGAATTCTATTCAGCTATAAAAAAATGAAATCCTGTCAATGACAACAACATGGATCGATCATTATGTTAAGGTGATATAAGCCAGGCATAGAAAGACAAGTACCATGTGTATCACTCACATGTAGAATCTGATGGAAATTGAGAGTTGATCTCACAGAAGTTGAGAATAGGATGGTGGTTCCCAGGGCTGGAGGGAGTCCAGGGATGAGAGGGATGGGAAGAGGTTGATCAATGGGTGCCTAGTAAGTTAGAAAAGAGGAGGAAGTTCTGGTGAGCTGTTGCACAGCAGGGTGGCTATAGATAACAATAATGTAGTGTACATTATAAAAAGCCAGAAGAAATAATTTTAAGAGTTTTTCACTATAAACAATTATACATGTTTGAGAAAACCTATTTTTAACCTGATTCAGAAATATACAATGTATACATATACAGAAACATTGCATGGTACCCTCTTAATATGTACTTTTTAAATGTGTTTGTTAAAATAAGTGTATACCTGAAACAAAAAATCCAATTTCTATTATAATTTTTTGCCTTCATAGCTTCATGTATTCAATTTTTTTTTTTTTAGTTAGTGTCTGGGACATATATTTTTTCTGTTCAAATATATGCATGTAAAATTTATGAAGGAAAAATTAATTTCCTAAAATCACATTTGATGTTATTTTTCACAGGATTTTTAATGAGTTTTGAAAATTTAAAAAATATTTCTCAAAAGAAGCTTTAACAAGTAGAAAAGTGGAAGTGAGAAAGAGGGAAAAGATTCACTTTCTCATTGATTCCTGGAACACAGCTCCTAAATCTTCTAATCTCACATTTTACTAAAGTTTGCCTCACATGAAGGAAAGCCAAAGTCTGCTGAAGAAAATAAACACTCTCAGTAGGCAGTGTGGTGTTTGGAAAGTTCAAAGACATGACCACGTGGAGTGAACAAAGATGAACTTTTCCTATTTTTGCCTAGATTTCCCCTCAACTGGTTTACAGGGAATATGAGTCTTCATTGTTTTGTCTAAAAAGTGTACTAAAATACTTCAAAAATCACAAGAATAGTCACTCATAATGAGAGCATTTTTGAAGGCACCAATTCAAAAGGGAAAAGAAGCTTTTTCAAAGTGTCTTTTRAACGTTTCACAGAAAAATGGTTTGGAATCGTAATCACTGTCAAAAATATCCAAAGATTTAAGTAGTAAATGTAGGATAATACAACAAGGACATTGAAGTTCCTGCCTTTTCCTCAACCACTTAGGAGAATTCTGGATGACCACCTTTGTTTGGAAGATCCAGACTCTGCCTTTGGACTGTATGAAATAAAATTTGGGGAGGAGAGGAAAACGTTGGGGAAAAAAAGTATTGGGGAGGCATATGGAAGGAGGTTTCAGAGGAATGTGAAAAGAGAAAATGCTCGGTATGTGACTGAATTGTATGGAAAAGTGGGAAAATGGAGATCTGAAAAGATTGTGTGGACTCCTTTCATGGTTCTTAAAAATACAGAAACAAAAGAGTTATTTTGAATTGTTCCTTGGTGGCCCTGACACCTCTACAAGACCGAATCACATCACCCCACTCACTGTTTTATATAGATATGTTTGCGGCTGTCAATAAAAGGGATCAGTTGCATCCCACATTTTTCACATCAACACCAGGGTTATTTCCCTAATGAAGATGTTTACAATTTAGAGATACAAACTCTGACTAGTTAGACAGGGAAGCTAGACGTTCAAGTCCTGCAGACTTCTGAGAGTTTTAATGTGCAATTAGATTTTTTTTTTTCTGTGCAGTCTTTTAAGGTAGAAAGAAAGGAATAAAAGAAAACTTCCCTAGCACAGCCTGTGTTCCTTAGGAGTATAAAGCCTAATTTACACGTTAATGTACATGTAGATGAATAAGTCAAAGAAAAGATGCTTTCTCTGTTAGTCAGCTTTTCTTCATTGTGATCAAACTCTCTGACAAGAACAATATAGAGGAGAAAAAGTTTATTTTGGTTCATGGTTCCAGAGATTCAGTCCACGGTTGGCCAAGTCTGTATTGCCCAGGGCTGGAGGGGAAGCAGAACATTATGGTGGAAGAGTGTGGTGGAGGGGAAGCTGCTCTGTCATGGTGCCCAAGAAGCAGAGAGAGAAAGAGGAGGAGGAGGAAGAGGAGGAGGAGGGAGAGGAAGAGGAGGAGGAGGAGGGAAAGGAGGAGGGAAGGAGTGAGGAACGACAGAGAAGATGAACATTTGCAGGACTTGCTCTCAGTGACCCACCTTTTCTATCCATGTCTCACCTTCCTACAGTTACCACTCTTTGATTAGGTCACAGCTCTTGCAATCTAATCATTTCACCTTTGAATATCCCTGAAATAACACAGGAGCTCTTAGGGGACACCTCACATCCAAACCATAACACCATTTAGTATGAAAGATATTTTTTCTCCTTCCCAGAAGTATAATAACTTATCTTTCATAGTTGTGAAATTCTGATTTCATAGGAACTTTCAAAATCTTTGAACTCATAGTTCTTTGCTATCCTTTAGTATATTGGCTTATTTCTATGACTGGTTCTTCAAACCAGCCTAACTAAGCTCAGAACAGTGATTCTTAGCCAATGTCTACAGACATTTTTAGTCGTCATGATTTGGAGATGGTTGGTGCTTCTAGCATTGCGTGGGGAGAAGCTAAGGATGCTGCACAACATCCTGTAGTGCACAGGACAATCTCTTCCAACAAGGGATGATCCAACCTCAAAGGTCAATGGTATCAATATTGAGAAACCCTGCTTCAAAGCCTCCCCTCTGGGAATCCTTTGGTGTCTGGCTTCCCTAGTCACAGCCTCTTATATTCCACCTGTATTGTGCTTCAGTGCGAGTCCTTTGCCTTTGTTATAACCAATTTCCCAGTCTTTCCTTCCTCCGTTAGACCAATATATCTTTCCACGTGGCATCTTTGTTAATTGGCAGTTCTTGTTCATAGTTCAGCTTGGGAGAAACAGGGTGTAGTACAGGTATAATAAAGTAATTAACCATGTGGGTTGTGGGTGCAGACAGGCTGAGTTCAAACTCCAGCTCCACCATGTACTACGCATAGAATCTTGATTAAGTTCTTATTCTCTCTGTGCTTCAGTTTTCACACTTGGGAAAAAAATGTGGATGAAAATGGTACCCAGTCGCAGATAATTCTTGTGAGAACCAAGTGAATTAATACTTGTAAAGTGCTTGGGATGTTGCCTGACATCTAAGTACTTAATAAATGTTGCTATTGTTTTTCTTTCTCAACAGTCTGCCAAGATTCACGTTCTCCAACTCACTTCCTCCTCTCTACTCCAAGTCTGTGGAGAAGATATATTTCAGTCACAATGGTTTCTTGTAAATGTTTTGCATGATCTATGTTTTTTTTTTTTTTTTTTTTTTACATTTCTTTCAAGGTCAGGGTTTTAATGTGGCAAGGCAAGAAGTGCCCTGTTTCTCTCTCTCTGGTTTTGGCTATCTGTATCCCTTCCTTGGGGCAAGGAGCAGTTACAAAGGTGGGAGTGAGCAAAGAGAAAAAGGACAATTTTTCAAAACATTATCCTGGTTGATGCACAATTCTCAGTCCATAGATGGAAACTTAGAGTGAATGGATGAGAGGGTGGAGGTATCATGGGCAGTGCCTAAGATTCTGGCCAGAGTGACCATGTAGATTGTGATGCCTCTCACTATAATGAGGTAACCACTGCTCTGAACTTAGGCTTGTTTGAAGAACCTTAGAGTAACCAGTTTTAGAAATAACATTTGGGCTTAAACTGATGAGTTCATCTTTTGCTCACAAGTTTGTGGAAATGGAGATACAGATGTCCAGCAGAAACATGGCAGGAGGGACTCCATGGGAAAAGAGATTGGAGTTGGAGATATAGATGTAGGTATTAATGGTAGAGTCAATGAGAGGATGTAAGATTATATACAAAGGGGATTGTTGAGTCAGAAAAGTGGTTTCTACATGGATGGATGAATGGATGGGTGGGTGGATGAATGGATGGGTGGGTGGACATAGGCTGCATATTAAGATAAATTAAGGACATAAAGACATGAGCTCTTGTTTTCAGTGGGGCTGGTGAGAATGGCTTGTATGTGGAGGGGTGCGAATACATTCATAGGTTTAGCTTTGGGGAATGCTTGAAGTCCAAAACCATAATAAAATGGAAGTGACATGTATAGCTTGATTTTTCTATTTTGATATTTTAAAACCTATATATTATGTATAAATCTATCCCCCAATCTAGGTCATTGTTCTTAAAATGGTATTTCCTTTAAACATTTGAAAACTAATTTTTATACTATTTTAATTATCTTATCTGTTCTAACTTTTCAGATCATAAGGCCTATGGATTATCTGCCCCCAAAGACCATCAAGTTGTCACAGCTATAGAGTACCAAGGTATGGTATTTACCAATTCTTACAGGCTGTAATGTTTAAATGACTCATGAGGGTAACAGGTGATATTATTTTTATATTTGTTGGCATATTCTCTTTCACCCCACACTAATTCTTTTGCCTGAAATATTCCATGCATTTCCACATTTATAACACTTTCTCTACCTCCTCAGTAAAAATTCTGAATCATCAATAAAGGCCAGATGTACATAGAAGGGCTCCTATAACATAAATTATCTGTGACAAAATCTATTTTGTAAAACAGAGAGAGATCTTAAGGAAAATTTTAACCAGTTGAAGAAGGTTAATGGAAGTTAACACCCCAACTAAGTATTTAAGATGACATTAATGTATTCTATCTTGAAGTGCCATTTTCTTATTTATAAATTCGGGGATTAGTATGTATTTTGTTACAGTAAAAAAATACTTAAAGAACTAATAATTACCCCCAAATAGTATATAGAGCCTTTTATAAGTGTACTTCAAATATCGACCATCCTTTTTTTTGACCTTAGGACACAATGAATAATACAAAGAAACCAGAATAACTAGTCTTTCTTAAATGCAATGTTTGTTTATGTCAGAGATTGTAAACACTTAAGACACAGGTCCCAAACACCTACTCTCTTGTCTTCAGGAATGTTTTCTTCCTGAAGTTAGAGACAGTTTGAAGGAAAGGGTCAAAGATGAGAGAAGAGACCTGGAACACGAGTTAGTATTTATATGGTGCTTACAGTAGTGTCTAACAAGTTATACGTGCTTGACAAGTAAAAAACATGTTATAAAAACTAGTCCATTATTCAAAAACAACAAACCACTTAGTAACAAGTCACTTAAATAATTTTTAGGCTAATTAAGWCCTTTTAATTCCAATGTTTTACATGACTAAGCTAATAAGACACCCTTTATTGTGAGTTAGTTTTAAGTAAGGAGAAGTGGAAAGAGGAAATTAATGGTTGGAAGTAACTTGGACTCTGGAGTACTTGCAGAAAGATAAATAGGTTGAGTAAGATGCCAAAAAGGAGCCTGGAATGGCCAAAAGAGGGAGCACAGTGAGAGAGGAAAAATGGAGCAGCATGTCCCTGAGGGACAAAGGAAGTGAAGTTCATTTCTGCTATTTCTCACTTTCCTGGGTCCAGCTGGACGCAGTGGCTGTACTTCCCTACCCTCAGGCCCGATGCCCTAATATCTGAATTAGGACGTCAAAGTTACAGTCTTTAATCATCATTACTTAAAAAAAAAAAAAAAAAAATCATTGCAGCAAAACTCACACAACAAAATCCATCCTTTTTAAAAAAAAATTTTTTTAGTTGTAGTTGGACATAATACCTTTGTTTTATTTATTTATTTTTATGTGGTGCTGAGGATCAAACCCAGCGTCTCGCACATGCTAGGCGAGCACTCTACTGCTGAGCCACAACCCCAGTCCCTAAAATTCATCTTTTTAAAATGAACAATTCAGAAGCCTTTGTATATTCACATTGCTGTGCAGTGCCCCCTCTACCTAGTTCCAGAACATTTCCAACACTCCAAAATGAAATCCTGTGCCCATTTACATTACTTTTTAATGCATGCTTTATTTTAATATAGAAAATCCTTCCATAATTTATTGCAATCAAATGTTAGTCTCAGGGCTGTGGGTGTAAGTGGTAGAGCACATGCTTAGCAGGGCGAGGCCCTGGGTTCAACCCCCAGCACCAAAAGAAAAAAAAAAGTTACTCTCACTCCAAAATAAATATCTTCTATTTTCTTGTTTCACCTCTGCTCCTTCTAATTAAGAATTGCATTTTAATTCTATTTTATATGTGCTCTGATTATTCCAATTTGGCTCTCAATAATGCAAAAATAAATTCCTATTTTCTTTCACCTTTTATGATATTTTATGCAGTGACTTAATTTTACTTAAGATCTGTAATATTTGGTGGTTTGTTTGTATATGTGTCCTACCCATTTTGTTCAGAGTTTTCCTAATCTCTTATTTTCCTAATGTCAAAAGTATGAATTAATTCTTTCTTTTAGTGTAACTATTCTGTATCACTTTCCAGGGCAATACCAAAAGCAGAAAGAACCCGAAACCAGGGCAGATCTGTCAGGCTTATAAATTATGTGAGTGGACTTCTATAGAGGGGATCCAATTCTGAAGCATGTCTTCCCAGAAGTAATTTCTGCTGWTTTTTCAGAACTACTCTAGTAGTATCAATTCTTTTTGTGCTATGTAGAATTTGATAATTTTTTTAACATGACCACAGAGAATAGACTCAAAAGGTAGCAATAAATAATCTTAGAAAAAATAAAATTCATAATGATTCTTACTCCTATAAGTAATTATTTTGCTAATTTTTTAAATAAACGTTTATCTTGGGCTGGGGTTGTGGCTCAGTGTAGCGTCCTCGCCTAGCATGCATGAGGCACTGGGTTCGAACCTCAGCACCACATAAAAATAAAGACAATAAAGTCCATCAACAATAAAAAATATTAAATAAATAAATAAATAAATAAACATTTATCTTTTCTTCATCTAAATGAAACAGTAGTTTTGGCAATGAAATAAGCACCTTGGTTAAGAAACTTGGCACATTTTTCTGTTTTAATATGTCTTGTATTGAAAAGTGTGATTTATGTTGACATTGTTTTCTTTGCCATCCAAAACAGAGATAATATTTTAGTTCAAATCTGAGAGATTTGTGATGATATAACATGTGGGTTTCTATCATGTCAAGCTTGCAAGTACATTTAAAGAGAAGATCCCCATGTGTGAAAATAATAATGACCATTTATGTACCACATACTATATATAATACACCATGTACACCCAGTATATAACTTCATTATCTCATTTAATCTTTACAACTCTGTGAGATGAGTACTATTATTTTTATTTATTTTATAGTTTTAGAACATTATTTTATAATGTTCAAAAAAATTAAGTAATTTTCTCATCATATATCCAGTATAGGACAAAGGTTTAATTCCAAAACCTGTGCTATAAAGTACTATATTTTTATGTGACAATAACCCTAAAGCAGAATACCAAAAATTGTCCTGGCCTTGAGTGTTGACTGTTGGCTAAAGAGAGAAAGGAGATTCCATGAGAATTAGCTTTTAGATTCATTTGTATTCATATTCTAGAGTTGCCATAAGAAAATACCACAACCCAGGTGACTTAAAGTAACAGAAACATATTTCCTCTAGGTTCTAGAGGCTAGAAATTCAAAATCAAGGTATTGGCATGGCACCCTAGGGTATAGGCCCTGGCTGTTCCCTGGGCCTACCACAATACATATTCCGTCCATCTTCTATATCATTGATCAGATGTCACCTTGTAAAAGAGGTAAACTTGACTACTCTTTTAAAAAACTGCATCCTTGTCCTTGGCACTCCCAAACTTCCCCAACTCTGCTGTACTCTCTTTTCCCTACAGCACCTCATCACCATCCAACATGCAATAGAATTCACTTGTATAATGTTGCTTTTTTCTGCCTGACTTCTTCTGCTAGGTTGTAAGATCCCAAAGTACAGGGAATCATTGCTCTGTTCACTGATAGAACTCAAAAAGCAATGCTGAGCACATAGTAAGTACTCAACATATTTTGGGCAGATTGCATAGACCTGTTCTCTACATTTTATACAGTCCATGAGAGAGWGGCTGGAATGAAGTCACTGGACTTAGGAAAATCATTGGTGACATTTTCCAACATAAATTTCCTTAGAGGTTTTCCCACAGAGCACTGAGAACATAGAAGGATATGAATTAGGAAGAACTCATCAAAATGCATGTTTTTGTTTTGTTTTTGTGTGTGCGTGTATGTATGTATGTTTGCATGTTTAGTTAAATATAGGAAACAACATGATTGAGTACAACATGATTCCTAAGACATGGGAATAAGACAGTAGAATAGACAAAAAAAAAAAAAAATGAGTGTGGGTGTGTGTTTAATTGCTGGAAAACTCAACAAAATACGGGAAGGAAACCTATCTAAAACTCAAGACTCCGGAAGGTCACCGCCCAGTCTCCTTAATCAACAGAGCAAGAGCTGTGTTTCCTCCGACAGGTCCCTMAGCACACGTTTTGTCTTTGTAGCRCAGTTGTAAACACCTCTATAAAATCACATCTCTTTGTGATGTAAAACATGTTTTAGAAACTTTAGGCATCCTTGAAAWCAGCTTTTGGTTCTTTTCTTCCTTGTCTTTCTTTTCTCTGCCCTATTTTCTATTTCCTTCTATTTTACTTCTATATTTCTGGCAATGAATATAACTAAAAAAAAATGGAAACTACATATAACAGAAAGAAAAAAATCATCATTATATCACACAGAAATCACTACTGGGTTATAATTTTTATATATATGCTTATAGGCTTTTGTCCATATCTATGTGTATATTTTGAATAAAACTTGAGTTAATATCTTTAATGACATTAGATTTGTTTAGCATCAAACTCTGAGACACAGAAAGGATTTTAACCTTTTTTCTTCTAWTCAGAGATACTGTGTTTTTAATTTGCCTTGTGGGAGAAAAAACTCCCAGAAATATGAAGTTGGAATTCTAGAAGCTTGGTTGGAACATGCTTGAAAGATGTAACTGGAGGTTTCTTTTTGGCAAGCTGAAACAGTGTGCAGACCAGCACTGGGTTTCCCTGCCCTCAATCATCTCGTTTGGACAGTCAAAGGAGTTGGCTCCTTCAGAAGTTCCAGGAATCGCTTAAAGATGCAACTGCAGTAAATTTCCTGTAATGAAGTCAATTTAACAACACTGGAGTAGTTACACTTGATGCCAAGATCAAGTCTTTTAATAGTTTATCTGAATTGAGGCAGGGTTACAGGCAGCCATTTAGGGGAAAGAATAAACAATTTATTAGAGGGCCATTTGGGTTCATATTAATGTAATTTKTAAGGCATATCCACACAAGGGATCTGATTGAGACTGTGGCTGTAACAGTGGTCCACTTTATGCTTTGAATAAGAGCCCTTGCTGCTCTGTCTCTGTGACTTATTTTTAAAATGGACATGTTTCTTCCTCTGGGATAGGAATCCCCTGTGTTTCTCCTTTGCTAGTAAAGCAATATAACTTGGTTTTCCTTTTTCTCAAAACTGCGTCCTCATTGTTGGATTGGCATCAGGGACAAGGTCCTAGCTTTCAGTAACAGCCAGTTGGGAGGAACTTCTTTGCGTTTCCCCAACACAGCCTGGGCTGGACTAAGTGCCTTTCTTAGGCACTAGAGGGCAGCGTGCTCTTTCCAAACCCAAAATCTGATATTCATCCCCTTTGGACTGAAATGCCTTTACCTTGTTTGCCTCYTCTACCAGACTGTAGACTCCTCAAAGACTGAAACTGGGGATAAGTTGATGAATAATTAATCAGAGCTGCTGTTTGTTAAGTGCTTACTATGTTTGGGTCTGTGTGCTTTGCATATATTATTTCACTTGAAAATTCACGACTCTATAAGGTACTGTCTCATTTTACTGATGGAAACTCAGGCTCAATAACTAGGAAAAGCAGAATAGTGTCAAACAGTTTTGTGAAAGAGTTGTAATGCTTCCAATTCATCTTTGAGCTAAACCAATAGAATACCCATTATTAATGTACTTTTAACTAACTTATTTATGTAACTTATTAATGGGTATCCTATTAGTTTAGCTCAAAAAAAGAAAGAATAAATAGAATGTAAAGTCACAACTTAAGAATGCTTAAAAACTGTTAATTAAGTAAAACATAAATTCGCAGGGATAATTAGAAAACCAGTGTTTTTGTTGTTGGTCCTAGAGGTTATTTTAGCCTGCAAAACCCCAAAGAAGACCATTTCTTCCAGATTAGAGTGGAAGAAACTGGGGCGGAGTGTCTCCTTTGTCTACTATCAACAGGCTCTCCAAGGTAAGATGCTGTGGTCTTGATGAGGTCAGAGCAAGAGAATGCCAAGTACAGCCCAAATCCTTTAAATTACAAATGAGAACAGGACATGACTGATTACTGAAAATGTGTTTTTGTAAGTGTGAAATGAAACCAACAGTGTCTGAGACCCAAAACACAACAGCTATAAAGGACAGGAAGAGAATTTCAGTGAAGGTGAATTCCAGGGGGTTCCTGGACCCTCCATCTCTCAGCTCAGTCCTAGAGGATACAGAATGCAATTGTTCTTCCTGGCCCAGTAGATTAAAAAGGGAAGAAAAAGTAGTATAGCCCTGAGATGGAGGGATCACTGCTCAGTTAATAATACCCTCACCTTTCCTTGAGTTCCTCTGGAAAGCAAGGCCAGAACTGAGAAGCCTAGGGAGTTTGGACGATGGATGGGTAATTACAACCATTAGCAAGTGCTTTTATTTGTTTTACATTTAGTTCTACTCTGTTCTCCTATTGAATATGTRATGTACTTTTAACTAAAAATGGGATAATAATGCATGAAATGCTATGATGTTAATTTGCTTCAAAAGTATCTAGTGGTAGGCTGGGATATTGCTCAGTTGGTAGAGTGCTTGCCTCGCATGCATAAGGCCCTGGTTCGATCCCCAGCACCACAAGAAAAAAAATAAAATACCCAGTGGTTAAGGGAAATATGAATTAAGATAGGCCATGCATCCATTACAGTTAAAGCTGAGGCATGAGTACACTGAGGGTCAATTTCCTCTATTCTGTACTTTTGCATATGCTTGAGTTTTTCCAATATAAAAATTGTTAAAGTTGGAAATACAATTTAACAAGATAATAAACACATTATTATTTTTTAAATGCTATGTATTACTTTAATTTTAAAGAATTAAGTGGAGGGCTGGTGTTCAGATCAGTGGTAGAGCACTTGAAAAGCATTAGTAAGGTCCTAGGTTTGTTCCCCCAACTCTGAGTTGGGGCTGGGGAAGAAAGGTAAAAAGAAAGGAAGAAAAAAAAAGAAGAAGCAGCAAGAGAGAGAGAGAGAATAACTAAGTGGACAAATGTTTAAGGTTTATAGAAATTTTAAAGTATCCCCTCTAGCCAKTTGCAGTTGTGCATACCTGTAATCCCATCTACTTCAGAGACTGAAGCATGGAGGACAAAGCAAACACAAAAAGAACTAGAGATATAGTTTAGTGGTAGAGAATTCCTGGATTCAATCCCCAGCATAAATAAATAAATAAATGTCCYCTCTGGTTCCTATCTCTCAAGATAAAAGACTGTAGGTCCCAGAACTTTGGCAGCACAGCTATCTTCACCTGAATTTTCTACAGTTGCCGATTCTGGTAGTTGCATATTACACAAAATCCTATTTTAATTCTTTATACAATTACTATCAAAATCTAATTAAACGAATCCTTTTAACACATTCCCCTCACCTTTTCTTCTCTGGTTCTATCATGTGACCTACCATAGGTATAGTCACTGTTCTGACCAATTAAACCAGGGTCTCCTGTTTGTTTTGAAAACAGGAATACTTCTGTAAGGGTACTATAAAAGGAATGAGGTTAGTAGGTGTTTGGGTTGAATTCTTTAAAATACAGGAATATCAAATTAATCATTTTTTGAACAATCTAAGAAAATATCCTTCAAAAAAAGGCTTTTTTTTTTTTTTTTTTTTTGTAGTACTACAGATCGAACCCAGGGGTGCTCTACCACAGAGCCACATCCTCAGCTACGTTTTATTATTTGCTTGCTTGTTTTTAATTTTGAGACAGGATCTCACTAAGTTGCCCAGGTTGGGTCTCAAACTTGGGTTCCTCCTGTCTTAGCCTCCTGAGGAGCAGGGACACAAGAGTGTGCCGTCATGCCCAGCTAAATAAAGAAATTTAAAGTAACAGCATGCATGTACAATTTTTAAGGTTTAAAAGTGAACTTGCTGGTAGGAAAATGCGTGTTTTAGTTACTGAATGGAGTGATTTAAGGAGGATGTTGCACAGAAAGTTACTTGCATTATTACTAACATTGTTGTCTTCATTTTCTGAAGGTGATTTTAAAGATCGAGCTGAGATGATAGATTTCAGTATACGAATCAAAAATGTGACAAGAAGTGATGCTGGGAAATATCGTTGTGAAGTTAGTGCCCCATCAGAGCAAGGCCAAAACCTGGAAGAGGATACAGTCACTCTGGAAGTACTAGGTAATATGCATGTGTGTGTGTGACTCTTGTCACCCACTTCCATCCTCATCCCTCCAGCTCTAGGGGCAATGACACTGGTCCACGAACATACTAACATTAACTGGGAGTCACAGCCACTAAAGTTACAGGATCTCAACAAGGTGGTCTGGGCTGTTTTTTCCTAACACCTGGTTGGTTGCTGAAATTTCATTATTATTAACTCATTTATCACAAAACTTCTTTTGGTTTAATAAAGATAATTCCTAAAGTCCTACTCTGTATGTGGGAGCATGTTTCCCATGACTTTTTCAATAGCTCTCAGTATTTGTGCTATTTCTGTTACCATCTAAAGTGATATCACATGATATTATGGAAAAGCAACAGAACAAACAAAAAAGTAAATCAAGGGAAGAATTGGAAGTGGTTTGGTAAAGGAACAAAATTAGCTTTTATTTTGCAGCTAATATGTAGTAGGACCTTTCATGAATGTGATTTTATTTAATCTTCACTGACAACCTGATTTTTATAGATGAGGAAATAGAAGTTAAATGATTGCCCAAGTGTCACACAGTTAAATAAATGTCTGGACTAGGATTTGGATTCAGATGGGGTTAACTCCATAGCCAGGATGTTTGATTAGTATGAGAATCACTGGTACACATTATTAGCTCATAACAGTGCTTTGTAGAGGAATAAATCATTGGTGTTAGCATAAGCTACCAAGTAAAGGAAATTAAATAACTCCTTTTCCTTTTTTTAATGTTGCCCAGGTTCCTCCTGAAACACTAGTGATATGCAAGTAGAAAGAAATTTTAATTCAGAAAACCTTGCAGCAGATTCAGTCTGTATATTCATTTTCTACTGCTGTGTAACAAAATATTGCAAACTCAACAGATCAAAAGAACACTCTTTTTTTTTAAGTTCATAGTTCTATAGATCAGAAATCCAGTAACAGGACTGGGTTCTGCTCAAGGTTATCAAAATGCTGAAATCAAAGTGCTGGATGGGCTGAATTTTTGCCTTGAAGCTCTGAGAAAAATCCATTTCCAAACTCATTCTTGGTGTTAGTTAATTTTATTTCCTTGTGGTATAGATCCCCCTCTATGCTAGTTATCAGCTGGGGGCCTCACTCAATTCTTAAGGCCACCTATACTCCTTGCCACTTGGTCCCTTTTGTTTTCAGTGCAGCAAAAGCCTGTTGAATCCTTCTTGTGCTTTACATCTCTGGCTTTCCCTTATGTAACTAGGAAGAGAAAGCTCTCTGACTTTCAAGAGCTTCTGTGATTAGGTCAAAGCCATCTATGAAATCTCTGTATCTTAAAGACCACATATACTTGGGACCTTAGTTACATCTCCAGAATCCCTCCACAGTAGTACCTACATTAGGATTTGACTAAATAACTGAGAGAATGTGTATGTACCCCTAAAGACAGGGATCCTGGGGGACCATCTTAGAATTCTGCCTATTTTAGTTAGTTCTGGGTTTTCCTGGATATTGGGTCACCTAATAAAGTCTGTTTTACTTTCCAAGTTCCAGATATCAGAATAACCCTAATTCCAGGAGTTGGTATTTTCTAACTTGGTCAATTATAGATAGAATAGGATTTTTGTTTGGTACCAGGCCTGAAAAAATACCTTTATATCTGACTTCTTTTGAATATAGTTGGTAATAAACATTAAATCACTGGTGAGGAAAACAGAAGAGATTATTTATCTAAAAATGAATAGTTATTGAATTAGATAACACTTTCTTTTATGACAAATGAGCCCTGAGCTCTGAGTGACTTAACAAAATTAAAGTTTCTTTCTCACATAAGTAAAGCTTAAATGATTGGGGAAGGGGTGGTGGTGTTGCCAATTACTCTACTTCATGAGTAATTACAGACTCAGCTGAATGTAGGTCTGGCATCTTCAGTACATGGCTTTCCAAGGTTAACATGGATGTTGACAACTGCTTGTTAGTGGGATGGGACAAGTTGAGGGAATGAATGGAGAATCATGCAGGGAGTTTTTATAGATCAAGCCTGGAAACAACTATATAACTTTTATCCACACTCCATTGCCTTGAACTCATGCATATGACCCCATCTGGCAGCAAAGGGGCTAACAAATGTGTTCTACTATGTGCCCAAGAAGAAAGGAAATGGATCTGTTAAATAAGTAGCCAGTCTCTATTACAAGTGCTCTGWAAGTACATCTTTACTGGCTATTAAAATCCATGTTTAGCTTTTATGTAACCATTACTGTTTGACTTCATTGTTCAGTGGCTCCAGCAGTACCATCCTGTGAAGTACCCTCTTCTGCTCTGAGTGGAACTGTGGTAGAGCTACRATGTCAAGATAAGGAAGGGATTCCAGCTCCTGAATATACATGGTTTAAGGATGGTAACCGTTTACTAGGAAATCCAAAACTTGGCTCCCAAAGCAGCAACAGCTCATATACAATGAATACAAAATCTGGAACTCTGGTAAGATCATTTCAAATATTGGTCTAATAACCACCTGACATCTGGATAAAAATATTATTAGAACTTAAGATGTTGGAATATGCTAGTCAGCCTTTTGTTTCTGTGACCAGAATATCCAAAAAGAAAACCTTAGAGGAGGAAAAGTTTATTTTGGCTCAGTTTCAGAGGTTGGGTACATGGTTGGTAACTCCATTGCTGTAGGACCAAGGTGAAGCAGAACATCATGGTGGAAGGGCAGTAGTGGAGGAAAGCCACTCAGCTCATGGTATTCAGGAAATGAGGACTGGCGGGGGAGGACAGGCAATGGGAAAATGAGCCCTTCAAGGTGTTCCTCTAGCTACCCACCTCCTCTGTCCATGCCCCACCTGCCTCAGGTGAACTACTGAACTACTACCTAGTTAGTCCATTCAAACTAGGATGGACTGTTTAGGTTACAGCTCTCTCAGTCCAGTCACTTCACCTTCTGCATTAACACAGATACTTTTGGGGAACACCTTATCGCCAAACCATAACAYGGAGAATAGAAGACTGATACCATTGCTTGCTAAGTGGAGAGAAGAAAGGGTAGCAGGGAAGWTGATGATGGTACCTGTACCAAGAAGTGATGGAAAGAACTGCTATGTGAGACGAGAAGACAGTACAGGGAACCGGGAGTTGAACACACAAGTGACCTGAGGCAGGCAAATACTGCTTTCTGATGATACACCCAGCAGTTCTTTATAGCTACCTTTCTGGCCTGGAAAGTTACTAAAGGCAGTTGCAATATACAACACTAGGGCAATGAACTAAAGCTCACTTGGGGATACCCTGACCCTGGCACTAACCTTGTAAAAACAGTGACCACAGTTAGCCCGTGGTAGGATGTGTGCATCATTAAAATTTTCCATGACTCTAGCTCATCAGCAGTGTCTCTGTAACTTAGTTATCTATTACTTTGTTTAGTCCCCAGATTTTTTGATTGTTTCCTCCTTGAAAAGATTCTAATTGAAAGATCTTTCTAGGGTTCCTGATGAGAATCTATAAGTAATCCCTTAATGCTCATGACATTTAAAATAAAGAGCATTTTTACTTTTTTGTGTGACTTGAGGCTAGTGGTAGGAAAGAAGAAAGGTCATTGAGCTAGGTGAAGTGGCGCACATGGTGGTTCAGCTACTCCGGAAGCTGAGGCAGGAGGATTTCATATTCAAGGCCATCTTGGGTACCTGTCTCAAAATAAAATTTAAAAGTCTGGGAATGTAATTCAGTGATAGAGTGCTTCCTAGCTTGTGCACAGCTCTGGGTTTAATCCCCAAGTACCACCAAAAAGAAAAAAAAAAAGTCAATGAGCTTGAAATATTTTTCCAATCAAAATAATAATATGTCAATTTTAAAATGTCTAATTTCTAGTAACACAGGATCACTACAAGCACCAATATCAAAATGAAACAAACAAATAAAAGAAAAAAAAACCTTAAAGGAGAGGTAATAATAACAATTTTGTGAATTTTGAAGACAGCATGTAAAGTGTCTTTCATTCCTTCTACCTAGTAGCATACAATAACATTTAAAAACTAGATCTTCTGATACATAAACCAATTTGATGCAGTAGCTAAATAATAAAGTATATCAGTAGATGTGGCCACTGCTTGAAAAAGGCCCTGCTTTGGCCCTTTTAGCAGTCAGCAGGTCCCAGCGATTTTACACTGAGAAACTGGGCAGAAAACCTGTGGTCACACTGTGCTATATTTACATTTCAAATTTGTTTTTTCTCAGAGMAGGTGATAAAAGCCCCACGGCAAGTCTGAAATGATATAGATTCACTTTTCTCAGGGAGCCTGAACCCTTGAAATATCCTATGAGGCCAAAGGAGAGCCCTGGCTTGAACTAGGATGGCCTCTTTTGTGAGAAACAAAAGACTCCAGTGTACAGATGCCAGTGACTTCCTTTTATGTACCAGTAATAGGCTGGAAGATCATTTGGGGTTTTAGTCTACCTTATTATTTATCCATTACCATGGCCCTGAGTTTATGGTGAAGATTCTAAAAGGATTCTGGCTTTCTGGGGATGGAGAGATGATTCTGAAAACAGGCCTGGGAAGGCTTTCTGTTCCACCATGTTGAAGTACTCTTAAAAAAAAAAAAAAAAAAGGACATAGGAAGTAGGTAAAGAAATGTGAAAAAGGAAAGGTGTTAACCGATCAAAGCCCTGGCTAACTTAGGAAAATATGTTCCAGAAAGATCCAAGACAATGGGGAGGTGCTCCTCAAAGGTTCATGGCTCCCATGGCTGAGGTCAGCAATGACCTCTGCAGTACTGAGCATATGACCAGGAGGGTCCTGAAAGAATAATTCTGAGTACCCCCACACCCTCTGTAGGGGTCCTGGCAAGGTCCTTTAAGGTGTTCAGGACCTCCTTCCCTCCCTCTCCCCTTCCCTTTTTCTTTCCCTCCTTCGCTCCTCCCTTCCCTTCCTTCCTTCCTGTTTGCTTTCAATTCTTTCCAGAAATTCCCCAAGGCTACAAACTCCAAATCATTAAGTCTATCATATAAAGGTCTTACCTTTCAGTTGCTTTGGTAGGAAGTAGAAGGAGCAAGGTCTGGACCTTATCTTTACAGAATTTTCAAGACTTCTGCAATTGTTAGAATTTATAATCCTGTGAACAGCACCATGAAGATTTCCTAGGCCTTGAGCTACTTCCTGGTGGTAACTCTAGCTCTTCAGAGTAAATATTCATTATTTTCTGCTGCAGTGAATTTGCTTTTGAGTTAGAAAGTACATTGACAGAGAGGCCATCATTGGTAAGTGGTGCTTCCCAGGAATTAGAAATGCTACTGTTGGATGATGTAAACTTTTAAAAATGCCCACTGCCTTCCTAAACATACAGCTTTCTTTGTATGACAAAAGAAAGCAAACAGAACAAAAACTTCCTCATATATATTTAAGTCTTCTTCTGTCAAATTAAACAGGAGGTTTAGCTATTTACTCCTTGAAGTTATGGTAGATTTTTGAATCCACAATAAAAATGTAAAGTTTTGAGTCATTAAAAAGGAAAGACTAGCTTAATGATAAATCCAAGGCATGTGGTTGTTAAGAGCCTACTTTGAGATTTGTACTTTTAAAGTATATATTTATTTTTTCCCCTTCCACAAATAGCAATTTAACACWGTTTCCAAGCTCGACAGTGGAGAATACTTCTGTGAAGCTCGAAATTCTGTTGGATATAGCAGGTGTCCTGGGAAACGAATGCAAGTAGGTAAGCATGAGATATTGGAAGAGGAAATGGTTTGCAGTTACAGAGTGCCAGTGGGGGTAGAAGGAGCAAAGGGTAAGAAAGGGTTGAGTTATTTGAGAGATAAGTGGATAGTAAAGTTGAAAATTATCTTGATATAACAAAGAAGCAGAAATGCTATTTTAATCTGTCTTCCAATCAAGCCAAGAATATTCAGCATTATATTTAACAAATGTTTTAATTTTTCAAGTAAATGGTTTTAAAATATACTTTTCTGAGTAATCTTTCAAACAAAAGCTAAGTGTTTTATAAACTGTAAATTGCTGTGGATCCAGGAGTCTGTATGGGAGTTCATTTTACAGCTCTGCCACTTATTAGCTGACTCCTCTTAAGCAAGTTATTCGACCTTTATGCTTCGTTTCCCAAAAATGGAAGTAGTAATATATCTTCTTCACAGTGCTACTATGAAGATTAAAGTACTCCGTGTTTGAAAGTGTTAGAACAGTGCTTGCACACTGTGAGCATTATATAAGTTTCAGCTATGTTAAAGAGTTGTTGATAATTTTTTCTAATTATACATATGGCAGAGTAGTCTCTCTAAAAAGACGTGGAATACCTAAAGACCTACGTTGCTATAAAACATAACTGCTACACATATGCTACATATCACAAAATAACTTTTAATTTTAGCGTTCAATAAATTAGCGCTTAATAATCTTTTCTAAGTAATATAAGTTTCAAAACACGTTATTTTTTAAAATTTAATTTTCAATATTTTGACTTAATTCTTCCTTGTAGTAGGAGCCAGTGTTTTGAGGGGCTGGGGTTGTGGCTCAGTGGTAGAATGCTAGTGTGGATGAGGCACTGGGTTCAATCCTCAGCACCACATAAAAATAAATAAATAAAAATAAAGGCACTGTGTCCACCTACAAATAAAAATATATATTTTTTAAAAAAAACAGCCAGTGTTTTGAATATAGTTGTGTGTGATGAAGGGATATGCTAGAACTGGCACCAAAGGGTTAAAGTTCACTCAGGATGGCTGTACCCTAAAACAGAATATTGAGGGTCGGCCTGGTTGCAGAAACTTGTCCTCAMCTTTATGGAGCAGAAATTCACTTTTTCAGTGAATATAGATCAYTGCAGATATGGGGATGCTCGAATTTAAAAGTTTGTTTACCCGGTTACTGATTTAATTTGTTCATGATTTCTATGCATCTTTTCTTTCTAGGTGTGAGTTAGCTTAAATGTTAAAATTAGTTTGTTTAAAGCTCATTCATTGAGCCTCAGTGTTTCACAACTTTGGTTTATTAATTTTCTTCTTCTGAAATACATATAAATTCATTTTCTTCATGACATACCACTGGTATTTTGTAATGAAAACCAGAATCTGTTAACTCTCTTAAAGAAATTATTTTTGAAGCATAGAAGGAAAATCAAACATGGATTTGCTGATCATTCCCAGACTGGTTTATTGTACAGCTTCCTCCTTGGCCTTTTAGCAGTCTGGTTCCTTTCAGTGAGAATAATAACACCTTCCTTTAATGGTGGCCTTCTTCTTTTTAAAATTCTTTTTTTTTTTTCAGAGAAAGAATACAAAAATATTTTCAAGAATACAAAAATATTTATTGCTACATTTTCTCTTCACTGAGTTGTATGACTTGCTCAATATCTCACAGAAAATAGCTATTGGATGAAAACAGCTTACCTCTACCTTACTACTCTTCTGTCTTCCATTCCATTGAAGAAAACAACTTAAAGTCCACTGCATGATTTAGCACTTACAGGCTAAGAGGATTTTTTGTCAGAATTTTGCTTTTAAGGTTAATCTTTCATAGATGTCAAATTCATTGCAAACTAAAAGGATTTGTTTTTGTAATAGCCATTAGACTTGAATACTTTGTAGATGTCAAATTTATTGGCTACTATAAAAAATAGTAGGCACAGTTTGGTTCTCAGGAATTCATTTAGCTATTGACTTAATTTTACCTTAATTCTGATTACTGTGATTTTTGGCCCTCTTTTCTGTTTTTTAATCAAGTAAATAAATAGCAGAATTTCATTGACCTTGACCTCTCAGTGGCCAACCAAATATGAACTGAATCTATACCAAGTAATAATTGGTGTTTTTTACTCTGGTCAAATTAGCCTTTTGGAAGATTCATCTATCATGTCTCCTGTTTAGAAAAAAAAAAATTTTAAGGGCTTGGGGTATAGCTCAGTGGTACAGCACTTGCTTAGCATGCGCGAGGTCTCTTGGGTTTGAGCCTCAACATTGGGCAAGGGGTGTAACTCTTTAAGAATCGCTTCTTTAATAAATGCAAAAAAAATGTATTTGAATAACAAGAATGTGGGTCATGAAATTCCTGTAGTCAGGATGGAAAAATGTGATGCAATAATGTTAGGATTTATACATTCCTTGAATCACAATTCCAGGCATACTGGTAAATTGTGGTATATGAAGGAAGGTATCTATAAGTCTGTTACATTGTTAAGGAACAGTTATGTTCATCATTTTAGTAATGATTTGAATAAAGGGTATCTTTGATACAGTGTCCAATTTGCAGAAGTATTAAGCTTGGAAGTTTAATAATTTAATTATTGGGTAATAGAATCAATCCAGAAAAAAAAACTCATAAGTTTGTAACATGGTAGCAATTCCAAACTTGAGTCCAAAAAAAATCTACTTGTATTAGGATAGAGAAGAGTTAACTTTATAGCAAAGAGAAAAGTGTGTTTGCTTCATTGAGTTTAATTTATTTTAAACTTCATGGGATAACAATTTAGTGTACATATGTATGTGATACACACATACATACAACACAACCAGTCAATTCAAGAAGGAAGGTCTTTCTGACAGTTTTATAGAAGAGCAGTGGCATCTGCTCTCTTGGAGTTTTTCATTATTTGTGAAATTGACACATAGGATGATACAGAAGAATTTAAAGTAAAATTTGTGGCAGAGGAGCCACAATAGAATATTTCAAATCATCCAACTTCAAAGATTGCTTCTATTGTATGCAATGTATGAATATGTAACAACAAACTCATTAAGTACAATTATAATGAACCAATAAAAATATGGAAAAAGATAGTTTCTAACCTGATATTTAACTCTGAATTACTGCATTTCCAAATGAATGCAAAACAGTTTCATACATTCTCTTTCTTGACCACAGGACTTTTTAAAATTTAAGACTCTTGCAAAACTTAGTTCTGTCAACATTTTCAATCAGTTTTGTGCTATGCCTTGGAATTGTTGAACAGGCTTCAAAGTCTTGAAACTATGCTTTTTAGCATAGCTGCAAAGTGGAGTTTGTTGAGTCCTTTCAACTTAATGATGAAGTCTGTCCATCTATGTGATGTGAATTTATGCATGGTATATTTCACTTCCAGATGATCTCAACGTAAGTGGCATCATAGCAGCTGTAGTAGTTGTGGCCTTAGTGATTTCTGTGTGTGGCCTTGGTGTGTGCTATGCTCAGAGAAAAGGCTACTTTTCAAGTAAGTGAATTTCACCCTTCTTTGATACACAATTTCCTTTGGATATAGTCTTCTTATGAGATGCTTTCTTCTAAAAAGTCCTAACAAACTCTGGAGAATATTTTTTTTTCACTGATTTTCTGCTATAGAAGATGCTCAAGGTAATATGCAGGTGGGTTGTGAAGCATCTTGGAGAAAAAAGAACAAAGCAGCCATTTGCAAAATTCTAAGCAACACCATAGCATGTGTGAGTGGTTTCCTTGGAGTGGCATAGTGTAGAGGCAGACATTCAATATAGATTGTGGTATATTTATGTGCATGCTAGACCCTCTTATTTTAAATTAGGAATTGAGTATTTCATTTTTATAAGCAATTTTATTGAAATAAACCAGAGAACTATTTTATCAGTGTTGAACAGTGAAATGTTGAATGTCAAGTTTAGCACAACTGTAGAAGATCATTGTTTAATCAAAACTAGAAACCGACAGTATTGGAGATGCTTCCATACAAGGTTTTTAGTTCAAGTTAAACTTGAAGAAAGTTGTAACTTCAGCACCCATTTGATGATAGAATAGTGGGTGAGATTGAAAAATAATGTTTTATTCTCCTAATATATTTCTTTATTTCCAGTCTTTAAAATCATCTCAAAACTGTAGAACTCCATTAGGTCCTTTGGCAATAGTGTATAAGTTGAATCTTTAAATGGAATAATAAATAAATTCATAGCATGAACAAATATTAGACCCACTATTTTATAAAGAGCATTAATTTTAGAATACGGGTTTAAAAATAATTTATACCAAAATAAAAATTAAATTTAAAAGGAGTTTTAAATAATATTTATAAATAGATATTAAATGTAATATAAACATGGATTCAAGGACATTCCCTATAAATAAGAACAATTGTTCTGTGAACTAATAGTATTATTCTTGTTTATACTGCTTCAATTTAATCCCACATAATGTAATTTTATGAATGGACTCTAACCGAGTCCCCCTGCTGGTCACCAGTGAAAGTACTGCAAATAAGATTACTTATTCAAAATTCTTGTAGTCTGTATTTATACTTGCAATTAATATCTGTATAAGTATTTTTTTTAAATTTCATTGTAGATAGACATAATACTTTTATTTTATTTATTTATATGTGGTGCTGAGGATCTAATCCAGTGCCTCACACATGTGCTCTACCACTGAGCCACAACCCCAGACCCGTATGAGTATTTTTTTATTTGTTTGTATGAGTATTTTTAATGAGGAGTTGGCAAACAAATTTTTCTTCAAATACTGAATTAATTAATTTGTATATTAAGGGTTATTAGCTAATAATGTCATTCACTTTTTCATCTGGGAGAAAAACTACCTAAGAGAACCATACTCTTGAACTTGTGTTTAGGACAGAAGTTGGCAAATTTTGACCCAGAGACAAATCTGGCCCCCCACCTGATTTTCTGAGGCCCCAAAACTTTTAAAGATAAAATTTTGCAATTATTTAATGATAGGAAACACTAACTTGAATCCTAATTAAGAGAAATGTTATCCCTCRTAATGAGTTCTATTCTTCCAACTATTAGGACTTGTATTATAAAACTTTATTATTATACTTTAAATTTAATCAATAAAAATTTGGAAATTTATTTTCTTTCTTGTTTTATAAGTACCTAAATAGTATCCTTACTTTTGCCTCTGGGACAACATAGCCTAAAATATTTGCTGAAAGTTTGCCAACCCTTGATTTAGAAGGTACAAATGTCAGCAAGTGAGGATTGAGATTAAAAAGACATTAAGCAAAACTTGTATTTAAATAAATCTGTCATCCCATATTAATTCTTGCATTAATGATTTATATACTTATTCTTTTTGTAGAAGAAACTTCCTTCCAGTAAGTATATTTTCTTAAAATGCATGCCTCTCCCTATATCCACTGTTATTCTATTATTTATCTGTTTACAGTCAAGAGTGGGATATTGGGTTATTTCTGTAGGTGTATTTCTAGGGAGTTTCTCATATATGTCAAGAATACATTCTGCCTCATGCCTTTTTGTAAATGATGAGTAATTACCAAGAGAAGAATCATGGGCATTAATTGACATTATAAGCATTCCCTTAGTACTATTTTAAAATATATATGCATTTACTGCATTTTGCTAAATTTAAATTTTTCAAATAAAATTTTACTAGGTCATTTTTTACATTTAATTATCTATTTGACAACAATGTTTTAAGGACTGGCAAAATAGTAGTACACAAAACAAGACCAAAAAAGTTCACAAAATACTGCTTAATAGAACTTATATACTAGTAAAGAAAGGCAGAAAGTCAACAAATATGTGTAGTATACAGTATGTCAGATTGTGTTAAGCACTATGGAGAAAAATAAAGCAAGTAAGAGGATAGGGAATGCACAAGGTAGGAATGAAAATTATTTTAAATAGGATAGTCAGGAAGGGCTTCCCTCAAAGGCGATGTCTGAGAAAGACCTTAGGAGATGAGAGAGTAAGTCATGCAGATATCCATGAAAAGAATGTTCATGGCAGGAAACAGAAAGAGCTTGAGTGAGCTAACTTTCCATTACTATAACAAATACCTGGGATAATCAGGTTAAAGACAGAAAATGTTTTGCWAGTTTCAGTCCAAGATCAGTTGACCTGGTTGCTTTTGGGCCTGGGGTGAGGCAGCATGTTGAGGCAGGGGGTATGAGGTTGGACAAGTCTGTTCACTTCATGGGGGCCAGAAAGCAAAAGAGAGGAAGAAGAGGGGACAAAGTTTCCAATATCTCCTTTTTGTGCCTGTCCTCAATGACTAACTGCATCGCACTTGGCCCCACCTCCTAAAGATTCTACCACCTCCCAAGAGCTTTGCATGCTAGGAACCAAGCTTTCTACATATGGACCTTTGGGGGCATCCAGAATCCAAACTGTAGTAGAGCTTAAGACCAAACATGGCTAAAATGTCTAAGGGATATCAAGGAGATCAGGGTGACTTGAACAGAATATGGGAAACAGATAGAAGGAGATGAGTATACAAAAGAGGTCAGATTGTATGGAGACCTTTCCAGGAAGTTTTGAGCAGCTAAATGTTGGTACTTAATTAAAATAGGAAGTCATTGGAGGGCTGTGAGTGGAAGAATAGCATGATCTTACCTAATTCTTCAAAAGTTCCAATTGGCTGCTCTGTTTAGAATAAACCATGAGGTAACAAGGGGTATTACCTCATGACCAGTTAGGAAGCTACTTCAGTACTCAAGGCGAGAGAAAATGGTAGCTGGATTTGGGGAGGGAGGAGGAGAAAGAAAGGGAAGGTACTGGGGAATGAGATTGATCAAATTATGTTAATTGCATTTATGAATATGGCATAATGAATCCTACTATTATGCCTAATAATGTGCCAATTAAAAAAAGAAAGAAAATAGCAGTTGGTACCAAAGAAGCAGTGTTGGAGATGTTGAAAAGTGATAGAATTCTGGATATATGTATGTATRTGTGTGTGTGTGTGTGTGTGTGTGTGTGTGTGTGTTTAACTATTTGCTGATCTGTTGGATATGGGCTGTGAGAAAAAGAAAGCAATGGAAGGTAGCTTCAAGGTTATGAGAAGGATAGAGTTTCCATTTATGGAAGTTTGGAAGATTTAGGAGGAGTGGCCTTGGAAGTGGTGGTAGGGTAGATGAAGAGGTCTGGAGTATTTGGAATTTTAATACTCAATAAACTTATTAGACTTCCAAGTATAGCTAATCATTAAGTATCTGAATATTCRATTTTGGAGTTTGGGGAAATAGTTTCACTGGAGATGGAAATGTAGGAGTCATTGGTATATGAGATATGAATGAGATCACCAAAGTCCCAGTTTATGTGTGCTTGATTTGTGACTGTCCTTCCTGTACATATGGACATGGCAGTCCCTACTGTGAGTCTAAGGGCTCTCTCCTCTATTCCCAGCTGCCATGGTTTCAGATACACTGTCATCTACATCTTTTGAAGACTTAGCTACCATTGATTTCCTGTTCCCAGATGCCTGGCCCCATCCCTCATAATATCCCAGTACAAATCCAGGGTGAAATCCAAGTTATCAGGACTAGGAGTAGCAAAGGAGGTGAGTTCAGAAGAGCGGGGCAGCCTGAATGTGTAGCCACCACCCACCCCATCCCACCTGACCCCCAGGCAGTTGCAAGGACTTCCACTTTATTGAGAAAGATGAAAATAATTGGAGGGTTTTGAGCCGAGAGATCTCATATTACATAAGCAGTGAAGGAGTTTAATGTTTCCTTGAATTAATGTCTCTACAAAACCAGATAATATTTTGGAAAGGAGTATATTTATAYTTTGACACCTTTCCTCCTGATCATTAAGTCTACAGCTTTTAAAATTTATTGGAATTCTACTACAACCCCAGTCACATGTAAATCTTTCTATTAATAAAAGTGAATTTTTGAGATTATAATAATTAAGCTTTCAAAATGCTTAATGTTAATATATTAAGTTACATAGCAATAATTGCACAAAAATCTTTAGTATATTAGCCATGGGCTACATTTAGATGCACAGGGCTTCACTCATGGGTACTTTGTTGCATGGCTTTCTCTGTGTATACTGCTATAAATATAAGAAATTCAGTTATAGTTATTGGCTAAGATAAATATTCATCTTCCTGGTGATAAAATGTATGGAGGTAATGTTAACTAAATGAGGATAGTGTTTCAGAATGGGAGGTGATAATGCAGTAAATCCTGTCTCTTATTTTCCACAAACAGGAAGGGTAGTTCTTCATCTAAAGCCCCTACAATGAGTGAAAATGTGAGTATTTTAAATGTATATTTACAGGACATATGAATAGGGAAGGGAAATGAAGCAGTCATATGGCAGTTGTGAATTTTCACTTTTAATGTACTTTGTATTACTGTCTACTACTGGCATGTAGAAAGATGTAAGTGAACATTAGCTTCCTTCCCCCCACTGGTATAGCATGATAAGGTTGCCCAGCATTTGTAGATCAATTATAGGAAGTGATCTTTATCATATCGTTCTTTTTCTCTTATARTATATTCTATTATCAGTCTGCCTCCTTAAGATCACTAGGCCTGCAGTTTTCAACTCTATTTGACAGATGAGGAGGTTAAGGCTTAAATTCATATGGGATGAAATGGTGGAGCTGGAATCAGGTACCTTGTTTCCTAATGCTTTAAGTAGATCACTCCCAGCAGATCTGTGGTTCTAGGATTTGCYTTTGGTTATTCAAAGGCACTTGGGAAATTTAAGAATATGAAATATCCTCTGCTAGGGCTAAAAGGATTTTAGAAGTCCTAGAAAGACAATAAGGATCTGACTCTGATGGTTTAGAGAACATTATTGCTTACGTTTTATAGTTTTTAAGTGACATTAAACTTTCTGGGTTATTTTTTTGAGGAATATAGTGAGGGAAGAGGAGTTTCTAATATTTTTAAGATCTTAACTCCCGCTTGAAAACCAGAGGGTTCCCAGAATTCCTCAACACTCTAGAGCAGAGATTCTTAGATTTCCTTTCAGTAGAGCTTGGGGTGAGGCATGGACATTAGTATTTTAAATACTGTGAGCCTAATGGACGCTAATATTTAACACTCATTTATTGCTCCATAAAAATTTCACAAATTTAATATAAAACTTTGATTTTTAAAATTCATTTACTCCAGAATCTATTACTGAAATCCCCATATATTTATATATAATTTGCTACACTGAAAGCATATTGTTATTTAATTAGGGAATAAACAATATGTAACTTCATACTCATTCCTATAATTTATGGAACGAAATAATCCCATCCCACCAAACACTGAAAGGCATGTTGTATCTAAGTTGAAAAAAAAGAAAGACTTTTCCTTTTTCCTTTTCTTTCTCTCTGTTGCCAGTCATCATCTCAGAGTTAGTCCTCTTTAGTTCTACCTTATATTCAGCTGGGTTTTTAACCTGACAACTCTGAGCCTCATCACTCTGTGTTGTGCAGGCTGTCATATACTGCAGGATGTGTAGCAACAGCTCTGGCTTCTGCCCCGCTAGATGCCAGTAGCATACCCCTAAGCAACACTATTTCTAACTTCCAGCCCTGCTTCCTTACTTTCTAGACATAATTTCAAGTACCTTGTCTCCTAGTATTTACTTATTTAAATCCCTTTAAGACAGATTTCATTAAATATGTGATGGTTTTTATCTCCATGATTCTTATAGTGGATGTAGTTTGATATTCATAAGGCTTATATGTATTTCCTTAAATATATAGTAGTATATTATATTTAACCTTGATTTGTTTTCTTTTTTTCCCCTAGGATTTCAAGCACACAAAATCCTTCATAATTTAAAAGAATTCTACTTTTAAGATACACCAAAACCACAGTTGTTACAGATATTAAAGTATTATAAAACTCTGCTTTGTCTTAATTTGCAAAGAGGTACATAACAAAATGAAATTGATATTTCATTATGGTTTTTTATGACTTGATTTACCTAAAATTGTTATTTTTAAGCAAATAGTTCTGTCATTATCCAAAATATGATCTGGCTTCTTTTGTCTGGACTAAAGAACAGGAATCAAATTACTTTAAAATATTTTGATATTTGTGAAATGTTAACTAATGTTCTAACTTTTAGAGAAAGTTATTACATCATACTGATTGTGAAGTTAATCCACAAATCAAGCAAATACAACCTGCAGACACCCTGTGTGCAAGAGTGTTATCTAGGAGGTTAAGAAAATACTGATAGATGCAAAAGGATTCTCTGGTCTCATTTCTACCAAAATCCTCTTTATAATATAATCCTTATTCCATTGCTCATGTATCACTAATGTACCCACAAAAGGGAGGCAGTGAGGTTGGGTCTTATACCCAAGGGTTTGCACTTTGTATTTACTTTCATCTCTGAGAACCAAAAGTGACATGAAGAGAAGTAGCTAATGACCAGGGCTCACAGGTGTGCATAGGACTCACCTGGTGTGTGTTATTTATAAATTTTGAGAAGTAAATACAAACCCAAATGGGCTTATTTTATCCTCAATGATGCTTGCTGCTATTTCCTTTCCCTAAGACTCCTTTGAAGAGGCTCCATGATCTTGACATCAWGGCTCAACAATGGAGCCCACATAACTTTTCAGGTATCTTTTGCTGCATGAGTGGTGGCTTCAAATCCCTGTCTCTAAAAATCGTTCATTGAAATTCTGGGCTGGATCAAGTCCTTCACTGTTAAAGCCAAGGGGTTGCCAATCCTTTTTATGGCAAGTCAGGGATTAGGAAATAAGTGATTGTCTGGTAAATAAAATATAAGTAAATGAACTCACTGCCACTCCCTGCCTCTGGCACCTGCTTGAGTCATAAAAGGCACTTGAGGAATGATGGTTAAAATAAAAAATGGGTCTAACCATCTGTTTTCTGAACTGATTAACCACAAAAATCTCCAACTAGTGTTAGAATATGAAAATTCCAACAGGTCACTTAATAGTAAGAGCAATTAATCTGTGTAAAAAAAAAGGCAGTATCTTTTAGAACTGCTTTTGATTATTTAATCCATATTAAAAACAAAATATGGCTACAGCATATCCTGTTATTCCAGGAAAATCTAGATGAAAAGTTGATTCATGACCTTTGACAACTTTGGCCACCATTAAGTCATTTTCAGAGGAATCTGCTCTTTTCACCCAGTAGCAAAGCAGAGCCCCAGCTTTCACTGAGCAAATGGATTAAGCACTCACCGAATGCCTGCTGTAGACCTGGACACCAGGTCACTGGGAAGATGCCTTTTGTCAGCCTGCTCCCTTTGGCTTGTCTGTGGCATTAGATGCTCCTCACTAGAGTCCTTTCTGGTTTCTATAACATGTTCTGCCCCCCAAATCAAATTATCACTATTAGAGATTAGCAAACTTTCTGTAAAGGGCAAGATAGTAGATATTTTAAACCATATGGCTCCTGCTACAACTACTAGACTCTGCCATTGTCACCCAAMAGCAGCCACAAAAATGAGCATGTCTGCAACCCAATAGAAATGTAGCAAGCACAAACAGGATTTGGCCCACAGGCATAGTTTCCCAACTCCTGGTGGCAACCGATGGAAAACACCTATCTATAAATTTTTCTAAATGCTGCTTTAATTTAAATAACACAAATTCATATTATAAGAGGAAACTTAAGTAGTGCCTTAACTTCACTAAATAGAGGAAAAGCTTCTTTTTTAAGCTATTAAAGGCTAGATATCAAACGATTCACTTTATGCAGTATAAACATCTAACAGTCTTTGTGCCAAATATATCTTGTACAGTATCTTAAAATATTGTATACAGCTAAGTCAAAATCATTATGTAAAAATGGTTTCTTCTACACATAGGATATAGTGTGAGCACTAATTTTCTAATTATTAAAAAGTTGTCTATCTGTGGAACACTGGTATCTGGGCTGTTTCCGTGTGTGTGTGTGTGTGTGTGTGTGTGTGTGTGTGTGTATGGTGTTGTTGTTTTATGAACTTGAACACAAACAACTGGTAGAATCCCATTGTAATTCTTAGAATTTTATTTATTTTCATGCAGTGATATTGTATTGTATGAAGATTGAGGCTCTAGAATCAATAATAGTTTGTTTTATTTTAATATTGTTGCTGTTGTAACTAGATTCACTTTATTTTTAGTTGGRGGTTTAACCTAACTAAATCTAGAACGATGGGTTGTTTTTCCATACAACTTTACAAAGAACTTCCTTCAGTCCACAGCTGGTTTTGTTTGATTAAAGTCTATATTAATAAAAATAGCTGAACTTAAACGTTTTAGCTCCAGTTAACAGTGCAAGGGAAGAGTCACCCATCTATTGTTCAACAAAACCCAGGAAACTACACCCTCTCACCATCTGTAACTGCAAGGCTAGCTCTTCAGCTGCTTATGATTAGAATCTCATCTCTCAGTTTGGTTGCTTGCCAGAATCTCATATGTTGGGGGGGGGGCGGTCCCTGAAAATAAGGAAAAACTTATTTATTGAACACTTTATATATTATACAGAGCTGGGGGTGGATAGGGGTGAGTGTGTGTAAAGCTTCATTCCTCTCAAAGATAGTATAATGTGGCCAATGTCATCATTTTATAGACCAGGAAACCAACTCATAGTTGGTGTCTTGCCAGGTTCAGAGCTGGTAAGTATTTGGGTGTTTGTGAACCCAGACCTATCCGATCCACGATGTTTCATACACCATCACCCTCCCCACTCCCCCCCCCTCAGAATTCCTTCCTTTTAAATTCTCCTGATTTTCTGTCACATTTTTTTTTTCATCTTCATCTTCCTTAATCTCTGGCTTCACAAATTTGTAATGCCTTTCTGTCTTCCCTTTCTCTCCTACTAGTCTAAATGTAGTGGTAGGGCACTGCATGCTCATCCTCTCTCTCCTTTCCCCTTACCCTCCAGGTTACCAAATCTATAATCTTTTTTTTTTTTTTAATACTAATGCTAACCATGAAGAATGCATTTAAGTTCTATTTTACCACCACCATCCTATCTCTAAATTTCTCCATGAAACCTCCCATTTATTCACTGATCCCATCATTAATTGGCTTGAATTTTGTCACTACTTAACCAATCCTATTATCTCATGTTTTTGTTATTATCTCACTTTTTGATTTCTGAGCCTTTCTTCCCTCAAGTAACTGTTTTAGTTACATTTTAATTTCTCCAATTCTACAGCCACCTTTTCCCTGTCTCCCTTCCCTTACACCATCTGTCAGTTGCTGTTTACTGTACTAAATAATTTCAGTTCCCTTCTCCCTCTTTTCCTTTCTGCTAGCTAAAAAACCTTTACTCTTTCTTTACTATCTATCACTAATGTCTAAATTCCATGGCCTGGAATTAAAGGTTCCCCTTGCACCCTACACATTTATATCATGTTGAAACAACCTACCCATTTAGCCATGTGTTCCACTATCCTCTTTAATTGCCTTATACATTTGTCAAACTCAGCTATGGTCATTTTATGTTAACAACTATCCCCCCATACATTTATTTATAATATTCCTTTCACATGGAATGCTGATTCTCCTAATCATAAGATTTACAAATTCCTTCAAACTTAAAATTTTAATTTTTTATCTTGTCGCTTGTTCTACAAGTTTTCAGAAYACAATTGGTAGTAATAACTGGTAAAGAGATTCAAGGTAAACTAAGCTTTCATTTGTTGGTAYTTTCTAATATTTATTTGATTTTTAATATTTGTCATACTTTTACCTGACCAAGTTTGGGGAAAAAATTTACAAACTAAGACATACTATAGTATGAAATGTCTCCATGCTTTCTGTTAAGAAAATGTTATCAAAACTCGTGAAAAATGTATCAACAACAAAAATTTAAGACTGAAGGCAGACTCTTTTAAAGCTAAATTTTATCACCTATTTTCTACTTTGTACTATTTTTAAGGCTACTTAAAGGTATTATAAAAATTGGGCTGGGAACATAGCTCAGTAGAACTCTTGCCTAGCATGTATGAAGCCCAGAACCATACACACATACACAAAGATAACCATTAAGTAGATTTTTTAAAATCTGTAGCTGAACTCCTATAGTTGCCCTTGCTTTTTAATTTTTCACTCCTTTTTTTTTTCCTTATTTTTAGTATTGGGTCTTGAACCCAGGAGCATTGTACCACTGAGCCAGATGTTTTTTTTTTTTTTTTTTTTTTTTTTTTTTTTTTTTATGGCCATCCTGAATCTGTTTACTATGAAATGAAAATGTTGAGGTTTTATATATACACACATATATATTTTTTTCCCTGTCTCTACCACTTTTTTTTTTTTTTTTTTTTTTTTTTTTTTTTTTTTGAAACAGGGTTTTACCAAGTTGCTGAGGCTGGACCCAAATTTGGCAGTTCTCCTGCTTCAGCTTCCCAAGTGGCTGGGAAAAAATTTGGATGTGCCCAATGCCCGGCTCCTAGCAGTACCCCTTCCATTTCTGAGACTAGGTCTAAGTTGCCCATACTGGCCTTGATTTTGTCATCCTCCTATTCAGGCTCCCAGGTAGCCAGGGATACAGGGGTGTACCATTGTATTGGGCCAATCATTCTTAAATTCACTTTACCATTGAATGATATGAAGATAAAAGAACSTTATTTTTCTAAGTCTTAGGGTAATATACAGCACAGAGATGAGGTTTTATAAAGACAGATACGAATTTAACTGGGACTTTTTCTTTTGTTTAGAGGCTGAGGACAAATTTCCAGCTCTCTAAAGAAAATGAATACAATGCATATGAAAATCTTCTTTGCTATTCATGAGAACAGTGCTACTTTGAAGTAACCGCCCCAGGCCACTTTCCCTTTAATCCTTTTTTTTTTTTTTTTTTTTTTAAAGAGAGACAGAGAGAGAGAGAGAGAATTTTAATATTTATTTCTTTAGCTTTCAGCGGACACAACATTTATTGTATGTGGTGCTGAGGATTGAACCCGGGCCGCACGCATGCCAGGCGAGCACGCTACCGCTTGAGCCACATCCCCAGCCCCATCCCTTTAATCCTTAACCCACCATGAAGTACACATAAACTGAAGTGTTGTGTATGAATGGATTAGGAAGGGGAAGTTGTGAGGGAAGAGAAAACAAAGTGATGTAGACAAAAAATGAATTGTCTAAATTGTTTCAGAATGAATGAAAGTTAGGAGGGGAACTATACAACAACATGCCTCCAAGGAGAGAATTACTTGCAAAAACTGAAGGTGCCTGCCAAGGATACAGTAGCTATTTGAGCAAGGTGAAAGAGAGTTGGGGAAAAAACGTGGAGGAGGGTGCAGCACCTATTTTCCTAGGTAAAAACCTGTGAGTTTTCCTGCATCACTGGAAGCAGGTGGCCTTAAGCCTTCTTGCCAATGTCTCACCTAAAGAAAACATTTGAAATAAGAGATTGAAYTTACCATTAGAGTGAAGCTGAGGAGAATTTGAAAGAGATTACCACTGAAGGTAATCCATACAATTGAGGAGACTTYCTAGCTCAAAGGGTAACCCAAGAATTCATAAATACACTTTACCAGAGAACAAGCACTGGGAAACCTTCAACGCCAGGGACAGCAACAATCTGAGGAACAACAGTAGCAAAAAACATACCAAAAAAAAAAAGAGAGAAAAAGAAAGAAAAAGCCCTAAGTGGTTTWAGTAAAATCATCTAGAACACTACAACAGACAATTTTGGTCACTCTTAAAGGTAGCAATAGATGAGGTACACAAAGCGCCCTTCCAAGTTCTCCCTAATTTTCCTCATCACAAATTTCCTCTTGGAACTCAGACTGGATTAGGTCCCGTTCTAACACTTTCATTTTAACTTAATAACCTATAAAGGCCCTATCTCCAAATATAATCACATTCTGAGAGTACTGGGTATTGAACTTTGGCAAAAGAATTTTGAGGGACTACAATTTAGTCCGTAACATTAGGCAAGGGGGAACACATCTTAAATGGCTAGATGCCTGGATGAGAGCCTTTGCTATAAACATAAAAGGCAGTTTGTCTACCTTGGTCTGCAGAATGAGTGCCTGGCAGGCTGAAGTTTGCAGAGCTGGGGCAGCTTCACTGGAAAGAAAATGGGTCCTAGGGGAGCTGAAACCTTGACCTACACATCACCATGACAGAGGCTCACAGGGAAGACAGGGAACTCTTGCCAAACCAAAATTTAACTATAACAATACAGCCCTRTAATGTAGGGAATGGGAGTGGGGTGATTCACAAACAAAATCCTATTTCTATAATGAAAGACAGATTGGGATGTTCAAGAAAACAAGACAGATAAAAAACATATGTTAAGACAAATAGATGTGAAATCATAAAAAGTAAAATTCAACTAAAATACATGGAGACAAGAAGMAGCAAAACAGAATCAATTAGTTCTCTACTTTGAATGGCATTTGCATAAYTGACCCAAGGGGCAGCTTGGAAGCAACACAGATGGGGAAAGTAGTGCTGTTTCCTGGGAGGTTGGAGAAAGTCCCTGAGCATTCCTCAAATACACACACACACAGTGTGTGTATATATACTTATTACTTTGGAATAATAAGTATATTATATACTTATTAACCCTCTGCAAGGTTATACCTAGTCTCTCACACCTGCTAGGCAAGCACACTACCACTGAGTGGCATCACCAGTTCTCAATTACTTTTAAATAGTTGCATCATTAAACATCAGCTGATTTCGATCCTACGATTACTTAAATAAATGTAGTTAAACCGATCTGTCATTGCTTATCTGCATATATAAAAAAATGGACTCTTCTTCCTACTACTTTACCCTTCCTAATTCCTTCTCCACACATGAATCATACTTATACCATTAAGAAACATTTATAGATCTTCCATAAAAGATGTTCCTCAGATTTGACCCCAGCTATGGTGACATGGTAAAACTATTTCCCTTTCAAGTTACCTACAACTCATAAGTGTTGATAAGAAAGAAAATATTTAAAGGTTTTTTTAAAGAAAATATTTAAAGGTTTATATTGACATGTTGGAGATATTATCAGATCTAAAATGTCATGATGATTTTTCCTTTTTAAAATAAAAAAACTTCCTTGAGAGTTGTCTAGGGTTACTGAAATTTTAGCAGTACCCTACTGCCACTAATCTAGGATGTAATTGCTAGATCTTTCATTTCTTGGTCAAAAAAACACCATATAATCTTTTTTGTGCTGAGGGTCAAACCCAGGGTCTTAGCACATGCTAGGCAAATGCTCTACCACTGAGCTATAGCCCCAGCCCCTAATCTTTTAAAGTAAACTCTGTTTTGAAGCATTCCTCCCTCTTTGTCACCAACCTTTCCCTTTTCAATCTATAGGAGCTATAAAGGACTCTGATCTGCAAACAWGTCTGGACTTTGAGTCTATAGAAGTTAAAAGCACAATAGATGGTCCTACTTAAATCTAAAATTACTCTTGAGTTTCCTGAAAAATCTATGACAAATGATTTATAAACCATTTTTTGAACGTTTTAGGAAAGGGTGTATCATTCCCTGAGGGAAGTTAAGTCCATACCACTGAAAAGATTCCTCCTCTGCACTCTGAAAAGAGCCTGGCAGGGATCTGGGCAAGCTGTATCCAAAATCTCCAAAATCTCCATCTGCTTCATTAYAGTCAAACGAAAGGATTTAAAAACAACCCCAAGACACAGAATTCAATACACTCAAACACACATTCAACATCAGCAGATAATTTATTTGCAATCAGAATTAAAACAAYACTTGATAGTTGTGAAATTTTGTTTATTTTGAAACTTTTAATTAGCTGTACAATTAATTCATAACGAATTACCAGATTCATTTTACATTTCTTCAGGATTGGGGTTTTTCGATGGCTTCAAATTTGGGATCTAAATAAGAAGAGGRGAAAAAAAAGGTTCAAACTTAGCCRTACTAGAATAAAATGCATCCAGAATGTTTGAAGGTTTAATTCATCAATCTTCAGATTTTTTTAAGTGAACATCTGTCTTTATTTTCCAATCTATATTTTGTGGTACTCAGAATTAAATAACAGGATCTTATGCATGCTAGGCTAGTGTTCTATCACTGAGCTATATCCACAGCCCTTCCTAAATTTAATTTAGTTTTATTTTGAGGCAGTTCTCAGTAAGTTGCTCAGGCTGGCTTCAAATTTGCAATCCTCCTGCCTCAGCTTTTCCAGTCACTGGGATTATAGGTGTGCACCACAATACCCAACTTGAACATCTGTTTTTAAAATCTACACAGAAATTTAACAATAGTTAAACATTTATTTAACACTTTCTATGAATGAGGCTATTAACTGACTTCATGTATGTCATTTGACTACAACTACTGTGTATAGAGGAAGATACTATCATTCTCCTCAAATATAAGATGAGGACAACAGGTTCCAGTGAACTGTCCAAAACCACACAGTCAGTAAGCAATACTGTTAGGATTCAAGATCAAACAGTTTGATTTCAGAACCTCATTGCTTAAATTGTATGTTATGCCAGGTGTAGTGGCACATGCCTGTAATCCYAGTGGCTTATAAGGCTGAGGCAGGAGGATCACAAGTTCAAGGCCAGCCTCAGCAATTTATCGAGTCCCTAACCAACTTAGGGAGACTCTGTCTCAAAATAAAAAATAAAAAGCACCGGGAATGGGCTCATTGATTAAGTGCCCCCTGGGTTCAATCCCTGGTACCAATAAATAAACAAACAAACAAACTGTGTTTTATGATCTCCTACACTAGCAGCAGACACTGGTCGAAGAGCTCCCATGAGTTTATTTGGTCCTAAATAAATTCACATGTCATTGTCATTTAATCCTCTAAATACCTCCCCTGCACAAAAAGAAAGTGTAAATATTCTCCACTTATAATAGTTTCCTGTGAGAATGAATCTGCGACCAAAGAGACTTACCTTCAAATTTGAAGTTAGGGAATGTGTTCATGTCCACTTTACCATACATTTGCTTAAGCCTAAAAAGTTCTCTCTCCAAATCTTGTTGATATTCTGGGCCAGTATCAACAGGTCCTCCAGATGCTCTGTGTAAATGAACAAAAAACCTAACTGTATGACCCACTTTAAAAAACAAAAATTATTCTTCACCATCAAGTTCTAATAGACCTTGTAATGGTATTCATAGAGGGAAAGTAGGAAAAAAAAAAAAACAAGTATTTCCACTTATATTTCAATTCAAACTATTTTAATATGATGAGGTTTCAAATAAAATGAGGTAATATCAAACAAACAAATCTCTTAACACTCAAAGTCTGTGTCAATGATCCTTATTAAGTTAGAATTCTTCAGAGTCTAACTTGCAATAAAATGTCTGTAGGCTCTGGAGTCAATGACTGGTTCCAGGCTATGCATGCATGGTGGCACAGYCTGTAAATCTAGTGGTTCAGGAAGCTCAGACAGGAGGATCACAAGTTCAAGGCCAGCCTCAGCAACTTAGTGAGGCCTTGAACAACTTAGCAAGACCCTGTCTCAAAATATAAAATAAAAAAAAGGGCTGGGGATGTTGCTCACTGCTTAAGCACTCCTTGGTTCAATTCCCAATACCAAAAACATAATAAAACAAAACTAGACTGGTTCCATTTGAATGTCATCTTTCCCATTCAGTAAATGCATAAACCAGAGCAAGGCAGGAAGCATTCTAAATGTTAAGTTTCAACATAAGAATGAAGGTCCTACRAAACAGGGACTTAAGAAAATTAAAGAGATAATGGACATAGCAAGCATGCAATAAGTGTTATGTATTATCATCTGCTTTATATCAGCCATCACAAACTTTAAAAAGATCTTGTGGCTAGGTCAGACATGGTGGCACACTCTTGAAATCCCAGTGGCTCAGGAGGCTGAAGCAGGAGGATCTTGAGTTCAAAGCCAACCCCAGTAACTTAGCAAGTCTTTAGCAACTTAGCAAGATCCTGACTCAAAAAAAAGGGCTGGGGAGTAGGTTAGTGGTTAAGTGCCCCTGGATTCAATCCTTAGTACCAAAAAATAAAAAAGATTTTTTTTAAAATTAAAAGATCTTAAGGTTAGAAGTATAGCTCTGTAATAGAGCACATGCTTATCATGTGAGAGTTCCAGGGTTCAATCCCCAGCATCTAAAATTTTTAAATAAAAAGAAAAGATCTTGGGAATTTTCTCTCTACAATAATGTTCTATCAAAGAAGCAAACTGTTTCAAACCCTCAGCAATTCTGCCATTAGAAGAAAAAGATGACATATTTATAAAAATTTATACTGTCAGGTAGTTAAATAATAAGCTTTGAAGACACATTTAACAAAAAGCCAGTCAAATTTAGAAAAGATCACCTATACTAAGCTAATCATGGGAAATTTAACAAAGGTGGTATTTGAGATAAATCATGAATTTAGGGCTAGATTTTAATTCAAGACCTTCTAAAACTGAAAAAGCAAGAAAATGGAGGTGGCAAAGCACTGGTTAAATGAGGGGACACTGAGCAGTCTAGATGGAAAATCCAGCAGAACCCAGTTCATGTGAGGCCTGGAACACTAAGCCTGGTGATTTGCATTTTATTTGCTAAGCAATAAAATGAGAAAAAAATAGAGTTGGGCTTTGGGAAAATGAGTATAGCACCATGGATGAGCAGCAGAAGCAAATATGTCTAATTTATTCTTTGAACAAAATTTTCTGTTTGTCATAAGTGTTACTACCTGCCTACTAATGGATATGATAAACAAAAAAAAAATTTTTTTTAGAGAGAGAGAGAGAAAAAGAGAGAGAGAGAGAGAATTTTTAAATATTTATTTTTTAGTTTTCGGTGGACAAAACAACTTTGTTTGTATGTGGTGCTGAGGATAGAACCCAGGCTGCACACATGCCAGGCCAGTGCGCTACCGCTTGAGCCACATCCCCAGCCCCGATAAACAAAAAATTTACAAAAATTCTTTTAAGGGTAATATTTTCCCACATGCCCTTATCAAAGCATTGGTAAATCTGTTAAAAGATCTTACACAAAGACATATAGACAACTCCAACTTAAGAACCCAATAATGATGTTCCTTCTAATGGACCCAATTTTCTTTTCAGTCAGCACTGTTCAATAGAACTTCCTGTAATATCCACATATATCTGAATAGATATTGATCATTAGGAAAGATATTATGTAATTTTCTTTAAGAATGCTGGGTGGGGATCAAACCCAGGGCCTCATGCATGCTAGGAAAATGCTTTAGCACTGASCTAGACTCCTAGCCTGAGCACAAGAAATATGGATAAGATGACTGAAGAACTGAATTTTTATTTATACTTACCTGCAATGAATTAGAATTTTAATAGTCCCACATGATAATGGCTGCCAAAACAAATAGCACAATTCTAAATAGAGCCTTCAATCAAGACTTTCAATGTTCACCTTCAGGCTATTCATAAGATTCTCAAGAGGGATGAATGACCCCAAACACTGTCCTCAAAGATAGAATAAAAGATCTCTCCCAAGAAGCCTTTCAAATGCCTCAAGATGGAAAGGAGGATTTCTTCCTATGAACTTTCCAAACACAGAATATGTCACTTCCTAAGCACCTAACCATTTACCTTTTGTTGTATTTACTTGTCTAAAAGTTTCTTATCCTAATTAAAGAATATTTTAAAAATGCAGTATTACCCACCAGAGTTAAAATAACCCTGTACTTTGCAAACAGTAGACAACTAAATGAGAGAAATGGAACTATAAATTGATATTTTKCCTAAGATTTGAAAAATGGCTGATGATGGCTAAAGTGCATATCTAAAACTGTGTGGTTTTGTAATCAAACTTTTCTTGGACTTTTTTTAATGTCATTTTAGTCTTTTGTCCTTTGACATTCCCAGAGCTATATGACTATGAAAATCTGACACAAGAATCAGAATACTTTGTTTTCTTTCAATTAGGCTAATCAATGTCGAAGGGACTTGCTTTCCTCAAGTATAGCTGCTAAATGATTTATAAGATTCTACATACTCCTGAGTTGACTCAGTTCATAATAATGACATTACAGTAAGAATATATTTTAAATGACAATAGATTTAATGGATTTCTTCCTGGGATTCCTTATAAAGAAGACAGAGTTTGTGACTCAAATCATAAAACTTTGATCTACTTACTGTCTCTTTGTTTTATATTCTCTAATCTTGTCCACGAAGAGTTTCTGTATGGGATCAAGATCCTTATTAAATGCCACTGCTGTAACACCAATGTTCCTCTTCAAATGGACAGAGACTGCAGACCGAATGACAGAGGAGAACTTGAAGAGCCTCTGAAGAACCATGGTGATTCTATGGTACTAAAAACAAGCATTGGAATGTTAATGCATTTCTTGCAAAACACTTCTAAATATATCACATGGGGGTGGGTGTTTAATCCTGCTAATTGTTACAGAACTCAGTCTAAAACTAACCATAGTCCCCCCCCTTCCCCTCTCAATTCACACTGCAAGATTTTTGCTTCTTACTAAAAGGCTCTAGGACCTAGGAACAGTTAGGAATTCAAGCATGAGGCTCCACCAGCATTACAGCAGAAAGTACAAAATCTGGGATGGGATTTTTTTTCTAACTTAGCCTTGGACCAGAGGAAATAATAGAAGCAGGCTATTAAAACACTACCTACCACCAGCAGGAAAAGAAAACCTGCTCCCAAATGAATGGGCTAGGTTTCTCCAATTCCTCAAAAGGCCAAAATAGAACTAGGCAGAGACTGTAGACAGCTGCTGTAGCTAGGGACAACAGCGGGAAATTCATGCTTCACAGACCTACAGGGAAAGAAACTGCTTTGCTTATGATAACTGTAGGTTTCTAGTCATTTAAAAACACTGTAACAACCAAATCAACATCCAAAAGAAAGAGGAGGGGGAAAAAAAAAAACCAACCAGCACAAGTAAGCCCTGTAACAACAGAAGGTAAGATAAGACAGCATGACCTAATCAGTGAAACAAAATTTGCAAAGGAGATGAAAGTCTGATCTTTTTTCCCCTGGTGCTAGGGATCAAACAAAGGTCCTTCAATGTTAGACAAGCTACAAGTCCAGCTCTGAATGTCTAAATTTTAAAAATATGAAATTTAACAATAGCTAAAATATATTATTTTCTAATTTAAATAGAGTTCCAGTAGATAAATTAGAGGATGATCTCTTTTTAGACCTGGTTTTGTGATTTAATGACCAAATGCAAAAAATATTTCAAATTAATAGAAAAATTTCATCAGATTAAAACTTACTTTAAAAATTTAAAGGGTTTTACCAATCCCTAAATTGAAATGGTGACAAATATAGCCTGGTGATATTTCTTCTTCTTTTTGAGACAGGGTCTCAAATGTTCCCCAGGCTGGCTTTGAATTCCTGGGCTCAAGTGATTCTCCTGCTTCAGCCTCCTGAGTAGATGGGTCTACAGGCCCATACCATGTGCTCAACTTGGCTTGGTAGCATTTCTAAACCCAAAAGTGTAGTCCCAATATATTAACATGCTTCTCATGCCCTCCTCCAAACTAATAATTATCCTCATCCTGACACRAGACTTATAAGAAGTCATAATAGATAAGTCCAGTGATGGTAAACAAACCATTACTAATCTATAGTAATAGAGAATTGAATAAGCAGTTAAGAAGCTTTTAGAGCAATTCAACAAAATTATTTTATGCTGTGAACTTAATAATAAAAAAAATATTTGTATTCTGTGTGTTTTGTTTCATTTTTTCCCCTTTCATCTCATTTTTCCAATAATTCATTTTCATTGTATTCTTCAAAAACACCCACTAGGTTGTATGGCCTTTCGCAATGAAAGTTTGAGAAGCACTAGTCAGAAAACACTAGAGTAGCAAAATGGTTCTTAAAGTGGAAGAAAGGGGAGATTTTATCTCCCAAGAAACATATGGCAATGTCTGAAGACATTTTTGGTTGGTCTGACTAAGTTGACTGCTACTGGCCTCTAGTGGGCAGACACCAGGGATGCTGCCAAATATTTATAATAACAGCACCCCCACCTCACAACTACCTTATCTAGTCCAAAAATGTCAATAGTACCAATATTGACAAACCCAGGAATAGCAAATAAAAACTACCCAAAGAAATCATAGGATCAGCAAGATATCCTTCACTAGAGAGAAGGAAAGTAAACCATTGAAGAACTGAAAGAATTCCTTACAATATCACACCTGTACTCCATCAGGAAAAAAAAAATCTTGAGAAGWCTACAAGCCAACAACAAATGCCTTTATAAGGTACTCTGTATCATTTCATCTTTATACATACAGAAATTGAGGCATAGAGGTTCAGTACCCTGGTCCAACATTACACAGGAGAACTGAATCAACATAAATATGTAAAAAACATCATCCAATTCAAAGTTCTTTCCCTTCCTGCAAACTTAAGAACATGCCTAACACCCAGCAGTAATGTAACATCTGTTCAGCCCTCCGTATTTTGCAAAGTACTACTTCATATATCCCCTCCTTGTAACTCTGAAAAAAAGATACTTAAAGAGTTTACAGAAAGGTGTTCTTACCCCTGCTTTACAGATGATAATATTATTTATAAGAAAGTTTATTAAATTGCTCACATCCTCACAGTTAATATGCTCTAAAGCTAACCACAAAGACGTCATTCCTACAACAACTTGGGTGAAATTTCTATCACCTAAGTACCAATGACTCCCAAATAACATCTTTTTCCTGAAGCCTCACAACATATAATGAATAATATTCTACAGCTCTCATGACCTAAATCCTACACTCACCCCAAAAATGAACCCGTAATCCTTCTTATCAAAACTTGTTGCTCCTCCATCACGTCCTTTCATTTTTCTGATTTAATAATAAGTGTGCATAACCCACCATCACGAGGACATATCAGTACACAAATAGGTGTAATACCACATGTGATAAAATTACTTATTCAAGTACTAGCAGAGCCTATGTTAAGGACCTAACGTAAAAAGAATGGGAAAGGCATTAGCAAGAGGGTACTGGAGCCCTGGCAGTCCTTGCCAATGGGAGGTAGCACGGGTAGCCTATTTATAGTGACCGACCAGTCAAAGGCTAGTTCTTTTGTTGTCTCTGCAGTACCCAATTCACAAAGCTGCCTAACGAAATGTTAGGCACCCTCTCACAATTTTTAGGTGAGATGCACAATTTTGGGATTACTAACTGCCTCTTTCCCTTTTATGGTGCACGACCTGCCCAGTGCATAGTTCAGAAGATTCTCCCGCGTGCCCTGGGCGCCGACAGGTTTGGCAGCAGAGACCCGCCTGCCTGACCTTGGACTGCCCCGACCGAGCTTCAGACTCACGATCCCCCCGCTTCCCTTCCTCCCACGTTCGCCTGCGGGGAAGGTATTATCGATCTTATTTTGGGGTCTATGGCAAACTTCAAGGCCTAGAAGCGCGGAGTTCGGTTGTGACCCTGCGCCATGCCACGAAGGTGCCAGGCACACAGACTGCTTTCTCCTCCTACTAGAGAAGAGGTTACAGGCTGCCCCGGCTGTGTGAAGAAACCCAGAATCGCAGTCCCAAGGGGCCAAGCCGGACTAGCTACCGTCCCAGTCACCTTGCACTCAGTCCCGAGCTGCCAGAGCCACCGACGCCGCCACAGTTCTACTTCCGGCCCTGGCTCCGCCCCTCCCCGCCTACCAGCCATCGCAATGCATTATGGGCGGCCATTTCAGTCGTTCGACGCTCACCGGACAGGAAGCGTCTCGGAGACAGTCTGCGACCGGACGGCTGTAGGTGAGACAGAAGCCAAACAGGAGGAGGAAGTGGAGGGTAAGTGCTTCCGGGTCCCCTGGCGAAGACTCCGCCATCTTTCCTTCGCCTAAGTTGACCTGTCTTTTTTCCTCTTGGAAACATTGTTTTGAACGCATGCGCACTTTGGCCTTTCACCCCAGTTCCAGCCCTCCCCGCCCACCCCCGAGTCAGTGTCCTGTTTCTTGAGGTTGTTGAGATGTATACAGTGCAGGGAAAGTGAAAAAGTGTAAAACAAGTTGGATTGGGGCGTTGTGCCTCGCGGGCCTCCGTTGCCTCGGGCGTTCGCTTCGCATGCCCTGCTGGGAGTTGTAGTCCTGAACCCGGGGGTGCCTGGGAGGCGGGAGAGRGCTCGGGGTTTCTCAGCGCCTATTCCGCGGGAAGGGCCCAGGGACCTCACACTTCGAGTCGCGGAAGCTTCAGGTCTTACCCGGAGAGAGGCTGCACGTGGAGCCCGCGCTGCTGCCGTTCTCGGGCGGCTCTGGAGCGCGGGCGAGGGCGACAGGGCCCATTCCGGAGCGGGTGAGTGCGGCCGCGGGGGAGGAGGGGAGCGCGGGCCTGCGCGGGCCGGCCTCGTTCCGGGGCCTTTTCCCCCACAGCGGCCCCCCCGCGGCCGCCTCTGTGTTTTGTTTCCGCTGGTCCCCGGCGCTGTGACTCCCATTTCCGTTCGTGGAGACTTGAGGGAGACGGGCGGGGAGGGGCAGGAGAGGCTGTGCGGGTAGCGGAGGGGAGGGGCGGGGGGCGAGCTGCGCGGGGGGCCCGGGATCCCGCGCGCCTCAGCGACCCTGGCAGTACTTGCCGCCTGTCGCGGTTTCCTATGCTTCTGTCCGCTCTTGGCCGGTCGCAGTCGGCCGTGCTCTGTCTCTGTGGTGGGGGCATTCCTGACGCCCCCAGGATTTCACAGGAAGATGCACACCCGCTCTCGTCTTCGCTTCAGATCCATTTGTCAATATAGAATTGTCTCACGGTTGCACCAAAACCATTTGTTAGTCTATGCGAGCACCATTTTTTTTTTTTTAACAAGAAAGGAACTAAGGGGATAATAGTGGGTTAATGTAGCTTGCCAACTTTTTTTTTTTTTTTTTTTTTTTTAGTTTTTGTGTAATGCGATGTGCGTGTTTGGATTTAGGGAATCGTAGTTGTTTAGGTTAAGGGTAGAGAGGACCGTCCCCAATATTGCATTGCAAAATGATGAGTAGTAATTTAGAAATAAAGTCCATTGCATGAGCGTCAACCAGTAGTAAGTATAACTGATGGCAGGAGAAAAGTTTAGAAGGTATTTACTTATGGTTAACATTCTCAGGTACTATGTTGCCTTAAAACTTAAAGCGGTTATCTCTTTAGCGCCTACTTTAAGGGAATATCCTCTCTAAGGATTTGATCAAGGATTTCCAAGCTTGATTATTTTTATACATACCCTAGTGCTGGGTGAACTTAGAACTGTTTTACATGGATTGTATATATGGGAGTATATGTCATGACTGGTGTATGGTCTTGAGATAACAAATACTGATCGAGATGTTAAATTGAAAGCTAGTCATGGGGGCATAAATAGGCCTAGTACTAAATTAAAACTCTTGGCTTTAGTTGTCCCGTAACTCTTTCTTTAAAAAAAACTTCAAACTTATAGACAAATTGAAAAAAAAAAAATCATGCAGTGAACACCCATATACGCTTCACCTGCGGGTCATCAGCTGTTAACCTTTCACCATGTTTGCTTTCTCTCTGTATATACACACCTGTGTGTTTTTCTTTATTATTAGTTGAAGATGGCCACATATGTGGTGCTAATGATCAAACCCAGTGCCTCCGACGCGCTAGGCAAGTGCTCTATCACTGAGCTACAATCCTAGCCTGTGTGCTTTTTCTTAATGTTGATTTTATTCTTTAGAATAAAATGTCTTTTAATTTTCTCAGGTACTTAAAAGTATTTGTTAGCTTGGGAAAATGTGCAGTTGATCATGGAAGTACTTCTAGACTGCACTTAAATTTTTTATCCTGTATGGGGGAATATGATCCAAAGCTCTCTAAACTAATAATTCATTCTAATGAAGAAAAACAATCCTCAAATTTATCTGTGGTTCCAAAACAGAATCTTAAGGATATCTGCTTTGTAAAAAAAAAAAAAAAAAAAAAAAAAAAAACATAAAAAAGCACTAACACCAGAATTTTTAGTTTAATTCAAGCTTAGTTTGTATCCATTTTGTAAAATGTTCTGAAGTCCTTGTTACTATTAATTTAGAAGAACTAAGATGCCAATGAAAGTCTGTGAAATTGTTTTATGTAGTTAGGACAAGGAGCAGTTCGTAGGTGGAGGGGCACCAAGTAGTGTTGTTCTTCCATTTTCTTAAATATTGATGTAGAATCCTGGGAAGTTGGTTCCAGAAAAAGAGCTAAGATCTTCTCAAGAATTTGGACAGTTTCCTAGTCTCTCCTTTGTTTTTTGGGGGGGCTAAGTAGCACTGAGAAAGATCAATTCAAAGACTACCAGTAACRCGGTTTTTCCAAAAGTGTATGGGTTCATTTCTACCTCCTCTATTTGGGGGGAGACTGATCTATAACATTTTTGAAAGTCAAAGGAGAAGTTTTATTTTTAATAATTCCTGTTTTAGTACTTATATTAAGGGGAGCCCCAAGTATCCTTACTAAGTCACTGGGGCTGTTTGACAGCATCTGGATACTTTTTATAAGTGCTGTTCAGCTGTAAGCTTTATTATTTCTCTTTTTTTTTCTGAACAGTTTTTAAGATTTATTTATTTATTTATTTAGGCAGGCTTAGTGGTGCACCACTGGTACTATAGCTACTCAGGAGGCTAAGGCAGAAGGATCATGAGCCAAATTGCATTTTTGAAAGATTTTAATTTGAGCATTTTTTCCATGAACCATTTTGGTTTCCCTTTTTATGAATTTCCTTTTCCTATTTTTTTTTCTATATTAGTTTGTTCCATTTTTTCCCCCCTTAACTTCCTGGAGATTGTCATCTATTCCATTTATTTGTCCCTTGTCACTTTTAGGTGTTTGAAATATTTTTTCCAGAAATATCTTTTTCCATTCTTTTATGTATTGAACCYAATCTTTATATAATTAAATTTGATAAGGATGAACTGATTACGTTACAGCTCTCATCCAGTCATTTCATGTGTAAACACAGGAGCTTTTGGGGGACACCACATATCTAAACCATAGCAGTTAATGTTTTGGGAATTTTAAGAAATGCTTTTCTGTCCTTAGACCACATTTAAAAATGCTATTTCATTTTCTCTTTCACTTAAAACTTTAAGATACCTGGAATCCATTATTTATGGTTTGAAGTAATCAAAATCATTAATTTACTCAACATATTTTAATGGAGTGCCTACTAAGGGCAAGATGCTGTTCAAGTTACTTTGTATAATTTGTGAACAAATATACCTGCCCTTGTAAAGTTTATGGTGTTCTACAAAGAGTAGGTCTTTACTGGGTCATCACCTATTTTGCTCAGGGTGAATTTGACAAACTTTCAGATGGTATTAGTTACGGAATAGGCTTTACTTGGAAAAGGAAATTCTTTTCAGGTCAATATCAGTCAAAAAGGAAAACAAAGATTCGTCATCCTTTCATCAACCCAAAGAGTAACCAGCTGGAGTAGAGATAATGGAAGGACAGGTATGATACAAGTTTATTTGAGTAGTGAATTCTACCCTCTGTTTATCCTTCTTGTGGTGCAAGTGTTAGAGCAACTTCAATAATATGGGAAAAAAAAATAGGTCTTTTTATACCAAGCAGTTTAGATTTGGGTGTCAGCTTTTTATAGATTGAAGTTGTCRGGAAACCAGCTATCTAGCAATTGGAGATATTGGGACCCTTTCTAAAGTAGAAAGGGAGACTATTATTTTCCTACTGCTACTGTAACATTATATAAATTTATTAACTTTAAAAGCTGCCAATTTATTAGTTTACAGTTCTGGAGGTAAAAAGTCTGAAATGGAGCTCTGGAATTAAATCAGGTGTTGGTAGGGCTGTATTTTGTAGCTTCTAAAGGAGAATCATTCCTTTCCTCTTCTAGTTTGTTTAGATGCTTCCTGCATCTCTTGGCTTATGGTGCCTGCCTTCCATCCTCAAAGCCAGTCACAGGCTCCCATTGAGTCACCTTGGCTTCTCTTAAGTTTCCTTTTCTACTTTTAAAGATCTTCATGATTTCACTGGGCTCACTTTTTAATCCAATTTAATCTGTATTTTAAGGTCAAGATTGATAACTTTTAATTCCACCTCCCACCTTAATTCTTTACCTTTATAATAGATTCCCAGGTTCCCAATCATTATTCCTAACCATAGAGGTGTTGGTTTCTTGAGACTTTGTCAGGCCCTTCCCACTTCAAAAAAGTAGAGGAAGTTCCTAGTCCATACAAACCAGTTTAAGTTCCTATGGTCATTTTTGGACAGTTCTGGTCTTTGTGTTTTAATGAAGATCCAATGGGAAGAAACAAAGTGTGTATGTATATATCATATATAAATAGATATACATACTATGGTATGTATAATAACATGTACAAAATATATTAACATAATAAGTTAAAGGGCAAGTGCGATGGAAAAGAAGGAAAAGGAGTAAATAAGAGACAGATAACAGAATTAAGTGGGTATGGTTACTGAAAAGACAAGATTCAGCCAAGAAGACATTTGTGGGTATTAGGTTTCAGGCAATCTGAAAAATTGGAGCAAAGACCATAGGACTGCAAGAATCAAGAAAGTTCATGTGGGAGAGGGAGTAGGAAATGGGAGATATATCATGTGGTGCCCTTGTTGGCTATTGTGAAATCTTTAGGTTGTACAGTAACTGGTACCTGTCAAAKATGTGCTGTGATTTAACTTCAGTTTTAAAAAGGATACAACTCTGTTGTATTGACTGAGAATAGACTGTAGGGGGCAAGGCAGACAGAATTCTGTTAACATGCCATGGTAATGTTCCAAGTAGCAGAAGGTGGTGGCTTTTGAATTAGTATATGCAGGACCCTGTATTAGAATAAGCCATAGTTTGGCCCCACCTGGAATAATGTGTGTTTAGGTTGATATATCTAAAATGACAATACAGAACCACAAGCAGTTTAGTTTCACTGACCTGAATAATTTTCATATGATGGTGGGTTCAGAATAGAMCTGTTCTATGTAAATACGTTGCCTGATTCTCAGTAAATAATGGTTATCATTAACAGGAATGAATATTTGAATTCACTTTGTCAAATATTGTAACTGGGAGCACAGATTCCTTTGAAAGTGTTGGAATACCAGATTTAGGAGAGTGTTTCTTATAAGCAAAAGATTTGTATTTTTCAGATAAGGGAGTAAACTCCAAAACTAATTCTGAAGCTCTGTGAGATGATGATACATGGAATTCAAAGACAAATTTATTGATCCACATTGAGTAGTAGATCCTGGAATTTTTACCATTAGCACAAGAAATGCCAATATATGTAGCTGTTTTATGCAATACATTTTTCAAAATAATACAGTGCATTTTTAAATTATACTTTTGTAGCAATGATTATTAAAGCAGTAGGTGATAATTTAACATGAAATAATTAAAAATTGAACTAATAGTTTAAAACTATATCTGAAAAAACAACTTAAAAATTCTAGTGTATAATCAAGGCAATTATATGCACATCTATAATTTGTTAGTTTATTAAGTAATTTGTAACAAATCCTAGCTTCAGTTTATATTGGTAGGTGCTTTGCAAAAAATATTGCTAATCATCTACAGCTTTTAGCTGGGTGCAGTGGAACATGCCTGTAATCTTAGTGGCTTGAGAGGCTAAGCAGGAAGATTGAAAGTTCAAAGCCAGGCTCAGCAATTTAGCAAGGCCCTAAGCAACTCAGAGAGACCCTGTCTCTAAATAAAATATTTTTTAAAAAGCTGGGGGTGTTGCTCAGTGGTTAAGCACACCTAGGTTCAATCCCCAGTACCAAAAAAAGTACCCAACTTTTAGCTAATCATTTTGGTTTATTTCCTTGCTAAGCTTCAKGTTTGAATTTGAGTTGCACATTTATATTTTGATTTTGAAGTAACATAAATTAACTTGCTCATTGAGATTGGGCCAAAAAACATTAAAATAAATCCAACAAAATAATGAAGTCATTATGTCAAGCTAATAAACACCTTTAAACAAAACTGGATTATAAATATCATTTATAAATAATATATAAATCATTTATATAAATATATAAATCATTTATATAAATATCATTTGTGGATTTTCTTTTATACGTAACAGTTACTCTTCTACTTGCACTCTGCTTTTATTTTAATTTGGTCTGTGCTTGTGTATTAGTTTATGCAGATAATTTTTAAAGTGTCTTAAAATTTAACTTGCAGAACTGAGCTTTTGAAATACTTCAACCATGACTAAAAGAGAAGCTGAGGAGTTGATAGAAATTGAGATTGATGGAACAGAGAAAACAGAGTGCACAGAAGAAAGGTTGGTATTTTCTCAACTTACCATTTTTTGTGTATTATCAATATACCTAAGTTCCTTTAGGTTTTTCTTAAATGACATTAGCGTCAATAGGGGATAATCTATTGCTGGTTTTACTACCACTTCTTTTTTCTTTTCTTTTTTTTTTTGGAAAAAGAAGTTTTATTGCTTTGCTAGCAAAGAAGAAACACTAGGGACTGACTCCTGTCCCAGAGACTGTGATTCTGCCCATTCTGGGGTATTTAAAAAGGTGATTCTAAGGCTACATTTCTGGTGTTCTCTGGGAGTTGTAATTCACTTGTGAATTTGGGAGATAGTTATTTCTGAGATCTTYTGGTGCCATCCCCAAAATCTGAATTACTTCAGTCCTGTGGTGGGTGTGTACTCAGGATAGATAACTATGCCTAGGATGGGGAATGAAGGTAATCCTGTTTCCCCTGAGGTTTGGGAATGGGAAAGATTAGGGAGAAGGAGGAAGAGAGGAAGAGAAAGAAACATTTTTAAAAATAAGTCACAGTGAAGGCAGCAAAGAGTATATTCAAAGCATAGTGAACTACTGTTATATATCCACACTGTCAATTTTTATATTCCATTTTTATGAAAATATGGACAATGACATCTCCAAGCTACTTTCTTCTCAAAGAGAACTAAGTTGTAGGAGAAGTGACCTAAAGTGCTTGTTCTCTGTTAGGTAGGGCATGAACAGCCTCAGGGCAATCCAGAGATCCTTGGTAGCAGTTGGCAGGTAACTGGACAAGGCATACTAGGGCATGTTGCTAAGACAACAATGAGCAAGGAGCAAAGCATTACTTTTTTGTAAGCAGTTAGCATACAAGTAAGTAGTATTTTAGCCAGTCTCTGAAAACTATGAAGACAGTAACTCATAATCATATTAGTGAAAAACAGATCAAGTTTATCTATGTTGGAGGTTCAGCAGATTTGTAAGTCTATGAGATCGGGCTGAAATGGACTCAGTGACTCTACAGTCCTTTGTGATAGTTATTATTAGGCATTCCCACATAAGAACCCTTCCTTTATAGCCTCCAGTTTTAACTATAAAAGGGTATAAATATTAGGGGGTAAAGATCATGGGAGTCCTCTTGAAACCTGGCATGCATGTATGTTTTAAATGGAAGTTTGCATCCAAGTCCATATAGCCTAAAGCATTTACTCTCTGGCGCTTTGCGCATGTCTCTRTAGGAAATGCATAGTTACTTTGTTGACCTGTGTAAGAAGCAATAGTTGCTACTCAGCTGTAGCAGATTGTTGCTTTGCAGAAATTGAGGCTGAGTGACATGGATCATCCATGTCTYATAAAGTAGGATTTAGAAATCTCTTAGTTGGGGCACAGCATGCCTTAATCCCAGCTACTTGGGAGGCTGAGGCAGGAGAATCACAAGTTCAAGACCAGCCTCAGCAACTTAGCAAGACCCTGTCTCAAAAAGGACTGGGAATGTAGCTCAGTGGTAAAGTGTCCTGGGGTTCAGTCCCTAGTACCAAAAATTTTAAAAACTWAAAAAAAAAAAAAAATCTGTGACTTTAAAATTTGTCACCCAAACGAACAAACAACAACAAAAAAATGGAGAGAGAAAATGGTAGCCTCGTATGCTATAACTGAGAAATTTGGTAAAATGCTTAATAGTCAAAATACCCATTTATTTATTTATTAGTTCTAATCAGTTATACATGACAGTAGGAAGCTCATCGATTCATTGTACCCAAATGGAGCAGAATTTTTCACTTCTCTGGTTGTGCATAAAGTAAAGTCATACCATTTGTGCAATCATACATGTACCTAGGGTAATGATGTCTGTCTCATTCCACTGTCTTTCATACCCCTTTGCCCCATCCCCTTTGTCCCATCCAGAGTTAATCACATGCCGCCCCCCCCCCCAAGTGGATTAGCATCCACTTATCAGAGAAACCATTTGGCCCTGGATTTTTGAATTGACTTATTTCGCTTAGCATGGTATTCTCCAACTCTATCCATTTACCTGCAAATGCCATAATCTTATTCTTCTGAAAGGCYGAGTAATATTCCATTGTGTGTATGTACCACCAGTTTCTTTACCCATTCATCTATTGAAGGGCATCTAGGTTGCTTCCATAGTTTAACCAATGTGAATTGTGCGGTATAAACATTGAAGTGGCTGCATTACTGTAGTATGCTGTTTTTAACTCTTTAGGGTRTAGACCAGGGAATGAGATAGCTGGGTCAACTGGTGGTTCCATTCCCAGATTTCCAAGGAATCTCCATACTGCTTTCTGGATTGGTTGCAACAATTTACAGTCCCATCAGCAATGTACCAGTGTGCCTTTTCCCCACGTCCTCACCAACACTTATTGTTGCTTGTATTTTTGATAACTGCCATTCTGACTGGAATAAGATGAAATCTTAAAGTAGTTTTGATTTGCATTTCTCTAATTACTAGAGCTGTTGAACGTTTTTTCATAAATTTGTTAATCGATTGTATTTCTTCTTCTGAGAAGTATCTGTTCAGCTCCTTAGCCCATTATTTATTGGTTGGATTGTTTGTTTGTTTTTTAAATACCTAATATTTTTACTTCTATTTTAAAATAAGTATTTTTTTAAATAATTTTTTAAAAAAATTAGTAGTCTCTTTTATAAACTAAGCATGTTTTAGGAAGAATTGTATATACATATATATATGTATACATACATATATATACATTCATTGAATATCACATTTTTCCTCATTATACTTGGAATTTGTGAAAATGGAACTTGACAAATTTTATAATATACTGTTTTGACAATTGCAAATGAAATTTTAGATCAGTCAGTTTAGCAAGTATTCTTTGATGTCTGTCTTCCATTTGGCATCATATGAGTATTTATTAGAGATGTAGAATTACTTACCAAAGAGTTTAACCTTTTCTAATTCAAAGTGTGAAATACCAATACAAAAGAGTTATAAGAAAGTTTTAAGGACTTTAAATGTTTTTTTTTTAAATGGAATTATGCTGATTATAATTATTAATGTTCAGATTAAATTAAATGGAAATAAAGAGTGCTTTAAATTTCCATTTAGCTGTTAGGCAATGATAATTGGTGATATACAGTATGTAAGAAGAAATGAGGTTTTTGTTTGTTTGTTTGCTTTTTCTTTGGTACAACCATTGAGCCACATCCCCAGCCCTATTTTGTATTTTATTTAGAGATAGGGTCTCACTGAGCTGCTTAGTGTCTCCCTGTTTCTGAGACTAGCTTTGAACACAAAATCCTCCTGCTTCAGCTTCCTGAGCAACTGGGATTACAGGCATGCACCACCACACCTGGCTAGAAATGAGTTTGGTATTGAATTTTGTTTTGAGCATATTGTTACTTTAATATCTAGGGTAACAATGTAATAGCTAACTTTTGTATTCTCAAATATATAGCATTGTAGAACAGACCTACGCCCCAGCTGAATGTGTGAGCCAGGCCATAGACATCAATGAACCAATAGGGAATTTAAAGAAACTATTAGAACCAAGACTACAGTGTTCTTTGGATGCTCATGAAATTTGCCTGCAAGATATCCAGGTAATTTTTTTTCTTCTCCTCCTCCCCAATTATAAGAGCAGAATATATTGAGCTAAAAAATATTTGCAAAATGCTTCTAAATTATTCCATTTAACTTTTATATCAGTCTTTGAAATAATATTTATTCATGTTCTAAAGAAATAGAAGTTGAGATATAAAGAGGTTAAACACAGTTACTTAGAATTGTAGAATGTGTATATATATACATAATTGTGTATATATAGTGTGTGTGTATATAGAGTATATATTGGTATATGTACAGCATGTAAACGTATGTACATGTATATGTATATGAATATATATACATATATAAGTCTAAATTTTAGGAAATGTATTTATTCCATCAATGCTATATCAACTGAATTATTCAAGTGAGAGAGATTTGAACCTTCGGTAATATGATATGCAGACACATGCAGATATACATTATTCAAGATAATTATAGTGAAAATCTCTTTTCAAGCTAGTGACAAAAAGTGTCTGAAAATTATAATTACTTTTCTCATCAGCTGGTCATTGTGTGAAATACATTCACTCTACGAGATGTGAAGGAAAAAGAGCACCTAATGCTCACAGGAAGTATGATTAAAAATATTCATAGTTAGATCGAGTTGTAAGGCCATAATTTTTWAAATTTTATTAACTTTGTGGTCAGGGATTTAAAGTGAACCCTAATCTTCTGTTTATGGCATTGATTACAAGGGAGATATAACATGAATGAATATATGAATAAATTTAGAAAATTGTTACCACTAATTGTTCACTCTTGCTTATCCATGACGACATTGCATTATCTTATACTTTAAATACATCTATAGAATGAACAATTGCTTTTTGGCATTATTTAAGGTACCAACCTAGACTCTAGAGATAGAGAAAACTACCACTTAAAATAAATTTTATGCCTGTAATTCCAGCAGCTCAGGAGGCTGAGGCAAGAGAATTGCGAGTTCAAAGCCAGCCTCAGCAACCTAGTAAAGCCCTCAGTAACTTAGCAAGACCTTGTTTCTAAATAAAATATTAAAAGGGCTGGGGGTGTTGCTCAGTGGTTAAGCACCTCTGGGTTCAATCCCTGGTACCAAAAAATAGAACACAAAATAAAATTTAAAAAATAAATTTTGTGGTTTATGCTGTCCTCAGTTACTACCTCAAGTGGTTAAGATATTTTTAATTTTGACAAATAATGATATGACAACTTGGATAATTAAACATGTTCTTATAATTTAATTAGTATSCTCAGTAATTAAGTTCTGTTTCATATTTGCATTTTGCTAAGCCAGAGGCAGGATCCTTAATCTGATGGTTTAGCTGAAATAATCTTACTCRTTTTACTCATATTTAGCTGGATCCAGAACGAAGTTTATTTGACCAAGGAGTAAAGACAGATGGAACTGTACAGCTTAGTGTACAGGTAATTTCTTACCAAGGTAAGTTAAAGTTTACATTATGTTTTTTTGATATGGTAACTCATTTTTGTGAGTCATAGGTATTTAGATGGTGTTAAATGACTTAAAGTGAATTATAGCCAAATATTCTTGCAAGTGTGAAAGCTACCACTCTATTAACTTGGAACAATTCTGCCTTTTATAGTGAGCCACATAAGTCAAAATATGGATATCATGTGCCTACTTGCCCTTTCTTGACTCATTTCCCAATAGAAGACTTAACAGCATTGAATCTAGAGTCTAAATCACATCTGTACTCTCTTTGCAAAGAAATCGGGTCACTATAGTGTAGCACAGGGAGTTTGCAAAGGAAGTGGAGTGACCCAGGTAACCATATCTATCACAGTATTTTACTATTGTGCAAGTACATAAATTAAAAAAAGGAAAATAGAAGAAAATTTTTGGTAGGTTGAATAGTGGGATTCCCCCCCCCCCGCCCCCTGGAAGAAGTTGTATTTTTATTTGGTGTTTTTGGGGGATTTCTAATATAAATCTTTAAATTATTTAATCTCTGAACAAATATTGCTTGCAATTGTAGTCCACAAAGCATAGTTTTCTTTGGACTTTGAAAGTGATAGTTATTCTTTCTGATACTTCATTCTTTCAGGATTGATTATTGGTTGCAAATAGAAAAATTCATCATTTTTATCTTTAAACACTCAATAACCTCTCAATGCAGATTTTACAAAAAGTTGACTTACTTAAAGCCATAAAAGTGAAATTGGGATAAGGATGAGAGAATGAATCTTAGGAAAATACTTCTTTAAAATTCTAATTATTTTTATCATATATATTTGAAAAAGTGACTTTTGTATATCATCTAGTCAATGATAGTACATTTTTTTATAATACTAATTTTCATGAAGGATTTAAGTTGACTTTTGTTTTTCTTTCAAATTTGCATTTAGTTTAATTCTAATGTAGATTATTATAACAGATTCCATAAGCTTTTGCTGTTAAATAGTATTATAGTTTCTTAGTGCTGTCTTTTCAATATAGGTATTTGAGATTATTTTCATGTAGGGTTACTTTTTTCTATTTTGAATAAAAACTCTATCTTATAGACAATCACGTAGACACCACTAAACAAAATAGCTATCTTTATGGTATAATTTCTTAGCTTAATTATAATTTCTGAAACATATTTAGGCATTTTTATTTGGGGTAGATGTGCATAGAAAGTCTCTGAATTAATAAATTATTTAACTCATCTTTATTTTTTATCTTTTTCACAGAAATTACAGTTCTTAATACCTTTAAACTAGGGTTTAAGTATCTTCTGAATTTRGGTTTTTCTTCATTTAGTTGAAAATGAAAATTAGAATTTAATGGTGTGAACTTAATTTAACAAAGTCAGCATGGTTTTTATACATGTTCTTTATACTTTATAAAAAAGAGCAGAGTCGGTAATTTTAATGTGTTTAGAAATTTTTTTTTTTTAAATCTKAGGGTGTATTGCTACTCAACATTTAAATTCTTCCTAGTTTAATTTTTATTTTTTATTCTATATTGATACTTTTTATTTATTAATTTTCTATTGTAGTTAAAAGCTGGTACTTTTTTCTTTCCTAATGATGTTTGTTGATAAGACATGTATGTGTATATGTTTTAATTATTGTAGACAAGTTGTAAAACAGGTTAAAGAATTCTTGAATACCATTCACCCAGATTCCTCAAATGTTCATTTTTGTCTCATTTGCTTTTTTTCCCTTTCCCCACACATATTGTTTTTTTCAACTATTTAATTACAAATTGTAGACACGATCACTTTTTGTTCCTAAGTTCATCACTAGTGTGTTTTTCTTAAAAACAAGGATTCTWTTATGTAATCATCATACAGTTATCAACATCAGGAAATTAACATTGATCCAGAACTGTTATGACAAAAGTTCTACTGATTTGTATTTATTGTTAATAGGGATCTATTAAATTCTCTAGATATATTGCTAAAAGTATATTTTTAAAATTTTTTCCTCTCCTTTGGGAACATGTAAACTAAATTTCAATTTTTTTGTGCCTTGTGTGTTATCATCTAAATTTAAATTTATATATTTTTTTAAAATTTACTGTTAAGGAATTGAACCAAAACTTAACATCCTTGAAATTGTTAAAACTGCGGAAACTGTTGAAGTCGTAATTGATCCAGATGCCCACCATGCTGAAGCAGAAGCACATCTTGTTGAAGAAGCCCAAGTGATAACTCTTGATGGTACAAAACACATCACAACCATTTCAGATGAAACTTCAGAACAAGTGACAAGATGGGCTGCTGCACTGGAAGGTTATAGGAAAGAACAGGAACGCCTTGGGATTCCCTATGGTAATTAAACTTATAATAATTTCTTAGGTAGACTAATAAGAATTAGTTTGACATAGAGAACATTAGGGTAAGTTTTAATCTATTTTAATTGTAGATTTTGTAAAAAGAATGTTGATTTTTCTCTCTCCGTTTTGAACTGTATCACACTTAAGCGTGTATGATGAATGAATATTGGTGCTGGGAATACATAAAAGTATAAAACAAAATTTCTGCCCTTACCATATTCACAGTATAATTGAAAAGAAAGATGAAAATAGGTAATTGTTATGAAAGGCAATATTAAAGTTGTCAATAGCTTATAGAAACACAACAAGCTATTAGAATCTCAAAGGAATCATAGTGGCCTGAGAAAAAACTGGGGAAGATTTTGTAGAAAAGGACATTGGAGGCCAGAAACATTGGGTGTGAAGCTTAAGCCTGGTAGTATTAATTTAAAAAAGGGCTTCTGGTGTAGTTTAGCAGTAAAGTGCTCCTGGCTTTAATCCCTAGTACTGAGAAAGAAAGGGAGGGAGGGAGGAAAAGAACAAGAAAGAGAAGGAGAGAAAGGAAAGGGAAAAGGAAGGAAATAGTGCTAGGACTAAGCTGAGAGTGTGAGTACAGAGTGGGGAGATTCAAGGATTAAGTGATTGGGGCAATAATCTTGATAAAAATCAGTTGCATTTTCATTATATGTGTAATGAACGCTTTCATGTATATGTGTGCCATGGTGTTAAAAGCTAGGCTCGTGATGGTGCATGAGGAGACAGAGCATACTTTTAAGATCCTTGTTGGGAAAGTAGGGAAGTCTGATATGGAGTAGCAGCTTAGGGCCACTTCTTCATTTGTTGTGTATTCACAGACACATATGTATATGTGTATGTATTGACATGTGTGTATAGTTTTTATGCTAATTTTTTTTCAGTATTTCACATTAAACTACTGAGTATGAAATTCACATTAATGTAATACATATTATTTAGAAGACTAGCCAAAATCAGTCAATATTTATTCTTTTATTAAATACAAATGTTTAAAACATGTTGGGATTGATTATTTTTCTTCCAGTTTGAATAATTTTTTAAAAATACAGATTCATGCTTTTGGCCTTCAAAATTTTCAGATACTAACATTTTAAATGTTACATATACACACAAAAAAATTATTGTAGCTGTATTTCAGAAACAATTGATTTATATCTCTCTATTCAGTTCCATAGTTCTTCCTTAACCCCATTGGTGAGATCCATCACTTACGGTATATCTTGTTTCACTTAAAGAAAGAAAAAAATCTCTTAGGAAAAACAGTAATTCTTTAACCCAACTTTCCAGTCTTCAGCCCTTTACCCCAGGTGCAACTATCTTTTACTTTATTGCTTTTAATCATAATTAACTTCATATCATAGTGGATAAGGTTTCATTTCCTTCCCCATTGCACACAATGATACCTTACCCTTCTCCGTTTTGTAATATTGTTATGCAATTTTTTATTTAAATCATAGTCTTTGTGTGCCTTATAAGTGTTTGTTTATTGTATGATTATATTTACACAACTCTTACTTCTCCTGAAATTCAAAGTTGATTTATTTTTAGTTGATTTATAGGTTTGTCTACAATACCACTTTCTCTCATTTTGAGCTATTTTTGTTCCTGTTGTAAGTGTTTTCCAAATTCTCAGTTGTCTTTAGATCAAGTCTTTTCTATGTCTGCTGCAGAACTGTCATCCTAGTGCTGGTTCTCCCATTTTCCAGGATCTCATATTTTTCCTTTGTCATGGTGAATTTCAGTCTGTTTATGCACTATTCTTATAAAAAGGTACTAAGAAATAGATTTTTTTTCTTTCTTTTGTTGAGCTTTACACATCTAAAACTAACTTTATTATGTTCTCTTTGATAGTTTGGGTATATAATATTAAAGTTGAAAAATGACTTTTCCTCAAAATTTTGATGACCATGTTCCATTATTGTCAAACATTCCAGGGGTATTTTCATCTACTCCTTTATATATCCTGGGCTTTTGTTTGTTTTTTAAATTTTCTGGAGCCTTTTTTTGTCTGCTCCTAATGCCTAGTCTTTGGTTTGGTGAATCTTTTTCATTCATCATAGATTTATGGTTTATGGTGTAAAGTTTCAGTCAGGCCCTATATTATTGAGTATGATAGCCAATAGTCTCATGTATGCACTTGAAATGTGCCTGGTCAGAACTGAGATGGGGTGTAAGTGTGAAATGACCAATTAAATCAATTTTTTTGCACTGATTACATACTTGAACAGTAATATACTTGGATATATTAGATTTAATGTATTATTAAAATGAAATTCACCTACTAGTTTAATGGGCATTATAAAATCTAAAATTGCATTATATTTCTTTTGATCATTATTGATCTAGATAATTGTAGCCTTCAGTTCTAGAGGGTTTTCCTACAGTATTATTTTGATTATTACCTTCTGTGTTTCTGGTTTTTTTTTTGTTGTTTTTTTTTTTTTAACTCTATTGAATGTCCTGGATTGATCCTCTCTGCATTATTTTTCTTCCTTCTTTTTCAACTCTACTACTTTCTAGCAAATGTTTTTGCCTTTAAATTTTAATCTATCTGATTGTTGTTTATTTGGTTTTAGTACTGTGGGTTGAACACCGGATGCTCTATCACACCCAGCCCTTTTTATTTATTTATTTTTTATTTTGAGACAGGTCTCACTAAGTTGCTGAAGCTSGCTTTGAATTTGTAATCCTCCTGCCTCAGCCTTCTGAACTTCTGGGTTTATAGGTGTGCACCTCTGTGCCTAGCCTGATTTTAAATTTTCATTTACAAGGGCTCTTTGGTTCTGTTTGTTCTTTTCCATAACGTTTATTTATATATATAATGTTCTGCTCTCTCTGAATTTTTTTTCTGTTTATTTTTATTTATTGGTTTAAGTCTTTCTCAAATGTTTGAATATTCTTGCCTGTGTATTTACATTCAAAACCAAATAACTTTAAAGCTCATTTGAAGTTCTGAAGGATTTGTTAACTAGATGCTGATAAAAAGAGGTATTGGGTTTTTCATTAAAAGATATTCAWATGTGATGTGTGTGGATCTTTTTGTTAGATTTCTTCAACTTGGAGAATGGGCCAAATGCCYGTCAGGAATAGAAGATTGGGATGACTATTAGGATTGATATGTATGTGAGTGCTGCATTCTAAAAGTGGAATGAGAACTGGGACAGGGAGAAGGTGGAGAGGTCTTACTCTTCCATTTGTAGATTTTTATTACTAGGAACTATTCTCCCAATGTCATCTTCATGTTTTTCCTCATTTATAGTGCTTTGGTGTCCACATGTGTGCGATGCTCCTATCTACTTGCCCCAAGAGTGAAGGAGAGGCCATGTAGATTCTAAAACCATATACTTTTAAATCAATCCTCTCAGCTTTAAGTCTTTCCTCTTGCCTGGAGCCACCATGACTGAGCCTATGTAGGAGTTCTGCAAGAAGGAAGGCACTCAATTTCCAGTGGTATCTTTCTGGATGGACATTTAGGTCATGGTTTTTCCCCTTTTCTGTCAAATTGCCTATTTCTGTGCTTATTGTCTTAAAAAAAAAAACTAGTAGAAATTTCTTATCCACGTCTGTCACTTTATTCTCATGTTCCTCTGATTTTTTTCATCTTTTGAAAGTTCTTTCACTGTCATATTACTGCCTCTGCAGGAAAAGAGACAGAATATGTATTGCCAATTTGGCGTGTTAAACCAGAAGTCCTGATATTATTTCAGAGAAAAGATCAGGCTAATGTTTTCCCCTTTATTGATCTTGATAATTTCTTTTCTAATTTGATGTAAAATGAGCTGTCTTRGACTCTTTAGAGAAATGTAGTTCTGGTGGTTATTCTAGCTGAATAGAATTCCGTTCTTCTGTTGTTTTGAAGTAGTATTCCAGAAATAGATAGCTTGCTTTCTCAGTTACTTTCTGCCTTATTTTTGTTGTTGTTATTGTGGGGGGTTTTTRTTTTGTTTAGTTTTTCATTCTTTGGTTTCTCTTTGTTGTTGTTTCTTTTTTTCTACTTAGCTTGGACCTGAGCTAACTCTTAGCTAACTCTTTCCATTTTCTTGTGTCCCTGTGCTTCTCATTTTTGTTTCTACTTCCAGTCTTCCTTATGTGAGTGCCACTCTCCTGAAAGTAATCCTTGACTAAGTTGAAAAACTCCCAGACTGCATCAGTCCTTTAAACCTCGTCATGAACCCCTTGTACTCAGCTGCTGTTGGTTTGAGGCAAAACTATTTTTAAGCCATTGCTTCTTTCAGCTTGGCCTGTTGTGCTTTCAGTGGATACTTCTTAGCTGTATACTGGTGTTCCTGCACTTAGAATGGATCAGATGCCCCTTTGCTACCTTTTTTTTTTTTTTTTTTTTTGGTGTTGCACAGATATAGGGACCATGGAGGTCTTCTAGCTGTTTTGCTGTGTCTTTACCCATGTCTTTTATAGAGTAGGGAATATCTTGTCACCTGGCTTTATTGTAAACATCCATAAGTAGTGATTTTTTTTGTTTTGGGTCCCCCTCCTTGTTATTTTTTTCTATTTTTATGTTATGCATTCAGAGAAATTAATTACCATTTCCTATAATCCTTCTTCACTTCACTTCTTTATATAGAAAATTTTAAGGAAAAAAAAAGATTCTGTGGCTATCCATACTTTCACAGATAGTGTGCTCTACTTAGTGCTGTAATATTTATGCAGTTGACCATCTTTTTCATTTGTGAATTCAGTTAGATAGTAAAATATGATGGAGAAAATGAAATTATCTGAATATACCACATAAGGGCTTGAAAGAATTTACAAGACAAAGGCCTTATATTTATAAGGCTTTAATGTTGGCAGCTGAGTGAGTAAGTAATTAGTATGTTGTATTGTAAGGGATGCCATAAAGGTAAATGCAGGAGCAACTAACCTTTTACAAGAAGGGAAAAGGCGGAAGGTACATTGTTCACATTTTAGAGACTAAAGGTCACTCCCTGGAATMCCCTTGGAATTTTTTTCAAGGCACCAAATCAGACAATGCTATAAAACAATATTTTGAAGTTAGTTAATTTGCTCTGTTCTCTCCAAGATAACCATGTATGTTGTATTTTGTTTTTCTTGATAAAATTCTAGGCTGATATARTACCAAGAGATTCTATCATAAATTTAGAGTGAGCCTGACAAAATGGCACATGCCCGTAATCGCAGCTGCTCAGGAGGCTAAGACAGGATGATGACAAGTTCAAAGCTAGCCTGTGCAATATAGCATGGCCCTGTCTCAAAACAAATCTGTCAATAACAAGAACAACAAAATTAGATTGAGAAATTAAAAAGGAGATAAGAAATACAGTATAAAAATCTTTTCATATAATTTTATTTTGTTGGGAAAAACATCTGTATTTTTTGTGTATGTTTATGTATTGACAAGTTAATTATAAATATAATACCTATAAAGGAACTAGACTAAATATAATATTTTCTTTCTAGATCCTATACAGTGGTCCACAGACCAAGTCCTACATTGGGTGGTTTGGGTAATGAAGGAGTTCAGCATGACTGACATTGACCTCACCACCCTCAACATTTCGGGGAGAGATTTATGTAGCCTCAACCAAGAAGACTTTTTTCAGCGAGTCCCTCGGGGAGAAATTCTCTGGAGTCATCTCGAGCTTCTTCGAAAATGTATAAAATTTAAGAGTTATTATCTGTTTACATTGTACTTTCTTTACAAATTTGTTTTTATCTTAATTGTTAATAACAATAGTAAGTTAATTAAGCAGTAATACTTTTGTTAACTGCATATGGGAGTGCTGACAGCTCTTTGTGTTATCTTCTTTAATCCCTATAATTCTGCCACAAAGCATTACTTTACTTGTTTTTATGTAAGAAAATTAGGCTTTAAAATGCTTCACAAGGTGACAGGGAGAGGCAGAGCTAATATTTTAACCCAGGCTTACATTAGAATTTGAGTTCTTAACTCAGATGCTGTTTTATCAGTCAATTCTTCCATTTTCTGCACATCTTCTAGAAGTTTAAGATCATTTATTCACAGGTAGCTTCTACCTCATTCTCTAATTATTAGTGGGATTAAACATTTTAATTTACTATAGTTGAATAGGGTCTTTAAAGAGAAAGAAGTGTACATCCCACCATCATAAATTGGAAGTCACTAGTTTGTAAATGATTCCACTTTCGTTCCACAAACATTACGGTCAAGTTACTTTGTAGGAAAACTAGAAACTGCGTAGATGCAAAAAAAAAAAAAAACTCAAATAAATGTAAATTGTTTTGTTTGAATTTTAATCTCATATTTCAGTGACATTACATTTATTAAGACACCTTAACAACAAGCCAATCCTTAATACTATTATTTATATATCTGAGATGCTAGCCAGACCTTCATTATTTTTCAGTTCATAAGTAGGACAAATTCTGACTTTACTTTATAAGTTATGGGTGAAAATGTAATGGTGAATATTTTGTGTGCCATATGCCAAATAAGGGAAGAGCTCTGCTACACAGATTTTTCACAGTCATGTACTGCTTAGCTTTTGCATCTGAGGCGCTTTCTCTGCTGTTGAATGAGAAATGAACTTTGGAGGGAGGCTTTTCTTCATTGTTTATCCACAGTTTTATTCTTGTATGGATTTTTTAAATATTTTTTTTTAAAGTACCAGTTAGGCATGTTAATAATCCCAGTGGCTTTCGAGGCTGAGGCGGGAGGATCAAAGTCAGTCTCAGCAATTCAGCGAGACCCTGTCTCTAAATAAAATATAAAAAGGGACTGAGGGTGTGGCTCAGTGGTAAACTGGGTTCAATCCCTCTTACCAATAAATAAATAAGGTATCACACTAAAATACTGACAACATTTATTGCATTTATAGGGTTTATTTCCAATTTCATTTCTTATAGATAAATAAGTTAAATGTCTTAGTTGAAGCTTTGTCATTGCTTTCTTATATTTTCCTCTGAAGAGCTTTTCAGATGAATAAGGAAAATTCTGAATTGTTTCAGGGTCTTACATTGAAATATGTTCATTTGCAATATTTTTCTTGTAAGAATTCTTAAGGACACAACAACCATAGTGCCTAGACTACAGTTAAGTTTTCCTCAAACTCAAGGTTTCCCTGCTATCTGCTAGATCAATTCTTTGTTGTAGTTCATTCTTTCTGGTTCTCCTATTGTTCTCAACTATAAAGCTCATTCATAGACTTTTCCTAGTTTGGGTAGCAAAAGAGTCTTAGATATTTTTCTATTTCCATGGAACTTGGTCTAAAAGAGAATGGTTCTTCCACAGAAAAGTTCTGCTCTGGAATTGTTGTTTTCAAAAACAGCAAATCCCTACRGCATAGATAAGTGTCTCCAAGAATTTTATCTTTCTTGCTCTGCTTTGACAGGGAAATCCCATGTGGTTTGGGAATCTAACAGCTTAGAATTTATGGAATGAACTGGATGATGTGTGAGGCTACTTCTGGCTGACTCTTTATAATTCACAAGTCTTCTCAGAACCAGAATTCTTTAACCAATCTGGTCCTTCCTGTATAAAGAAGTCTGCAGAATATCTCTGAGACAAAACTATATTTGACCCAGCCTATTATCTGTTCTTCCTCAGTGATCTCAAGAAGAAGCAGTGCTGGAGAGGTAGAGCTTCTTTTGCTGATATGTGTTGATTACCCACCTGAGCTACCACATTCCTACAATTCCTTTTTTTTTTTTTTGGTACAGGGGATTGAATTCAAGGGCACTCAACCACTGAGCCACATCCTTAGCTCTATTTTGTATTTTAWTTAGAGACAGAGTCTCATGGAGTTGCTTGTTGCCTCGCTGTTGCTAAGGCTGGCTTTGAACTCAGGATCCCCGTCTCAGCCTCTGGAGCCTGTAGGATTACAGGCGTGTGCCACTGTTCTGGCAAGTTCCTTTTGTGTTGAAACTTTATCCAGGTTTTGCTATACTTGCAGGGGGTTAATTAGGAAATGTCCCAATACTGCCAATTCTAATGTGCTTCTGTGTCACCCAAGGCAACGGTCTAATTTTGCTGAGGATGTTCTTTAAGAAAAAGAATTCTTTATACCTTTAGTATATAATGTTTTTTAATAAAATGGATTTATATTCCCCAGAGCTTTGCCTCTAAGGAATATGCTTCCTTCATGCACAGTCAAGATTTTGAAGCTTCAGGGGAAATATTATACTCAGAATATCTATATGCTCGTGGACTAAGCTTTCTAAAACCCTTCTCTTTCTTGTGTTCTGTCTTCTGTCTTCTGTTTTCTGTCTTCCCAGGACCAAACTCATGGATGAGAATTAAGGCATTAGGGGCTGATTTTACAGTTTGGTCACACCTAGGCTGTGTTACTTTCTCCTTGACTTCTTTTGAGGATAATGAACCTCTATTCATTTTAGTCACAAATGAAACAATTTGAATTTCAATAATACTTTTTCCTCTTTCATATACTTACGTAAAATTCTAGGGAGAATCAACCATAAACATATAGAGCACAATTTTTTCATGTCACTGGTTGTTCACAAAGTCAAGTCACACCATTCATGCACTTAGGGTAATGATGTCCATCTCATTCCACCATCTTTCCTACCCCCATTCCCCCTCCCTTCTCCTCCCTCCCTCCTCCTTTTTGCCCTGTGTAAAGTTTCTCCATTTCTCTCGTGCTCCACCCCCCATTCTCCATTATGGATCATCATCCACATATCAGAGAAAACTTTCAGCCTTTGGTTTTTTTGGGATTAGCTTACTTCACCTTAGCATAGTATTCTCTAAACTCCATATATATTACCTGTAAATGCCATGATTTTATTCTCTTTTAATGCTGAGTAATATTCCATTGTGTATATATAATACATTTTCTCTATACATTCATCTACTGAAGAGCATCTAGATTTGGTCCTCAGTTCAGCTATTGTGAATTGTGCTGCTATAAACATTGATGTGGCTGTGTCACTGTAGTATTCTATTTTTGAGTCCGTTGGGTATAGACTGAGGAGTGGGATAGCTGGGTCAAATGGTGATTCCATTTTAAGTTTTSCAAGGGCTCTCCATACTGCTTTCCGGATTGGTTGCACCAATTTCAGTCCCACCAACAATGTACCAGTGTGCCTTTTCCCCACATCCTCKCCAACACTTATTGTTGCTTGTAGTTTTGATAACTGCCATTCTGACTGGAGTGAGTTGAAATCTTAGATTAGTTTTGATTTGCATTTCTCTAATTACTAGAGCTGTTGAACATTTTTTCATACATTTSTTGATTGATTTTATATCACCTTCCAAGAAGTGTCTATTCAGTTCCTTGGCCCATTTACTGATTGGGTTGTTTTTTTGGTGTTTTTTGAATTCTTAATATATATATTAGAGATTAGTGCTCTATCTGATATGCATGTGGTAAAAATTTGCTCTCATCCTGTAGGCTCTCTGTTTACCTGATTCTTTTGCTGAGAAGAAGCTTTTCAGTTTGGGATTTAGACTTCTTGTTAGGTCCTCAGCCTTTCTTGGAATGGCACCCTTAATAGAGTCTGGTTGGTATCCTAGGTCCCAGGACTCACTGAGATCCTAGAATGATTACTTCTGAGTTCAGTTTGACTATCAAAATCTACTATCATGTATAACCAGAAAGAACCAAGAAATGTTTTAAAAGCAGCATAGTTAACAGTGGACTCCAAATGGACCTGGTAGTAGAAACTGAGATTCACAATTATTGTTTGACAGATAAAGAATAACATTTAAGCAAGGAATATAACAGATGAGTAATGCATGGTTCTGTAAAGGGCTATGTTAGGGCCTTGTGTAACATAACTCTTATTTTGAAAGCTTTATTTGTAAACGTTAAATTATTTAATTTCATTGTGATGTATAGGACTGCTATAATTTTATTTAAAGGTAGATATTTTAATAGATTATTCTGAGCAAGTTTTGGTGGAAATGTATATCTAAATAATTTCAGTTTGCTGTATATTCTCTCTTGGTGTTCTTACTGTTTTTTACATGACTTCATGTAGATAAATTGATTTAGAAGAACTTTTTTAGAAGAACTTTTAGAAGAACTTTTTTAGAAGAATTTTAGAAGAAATTTAGAAGAATTTTTAGAAGAACTTTTCTGAACACTATGAGAATGTTGAGTCTCTCTGTGATCCTTCCCTTAAAAGATACCTTTGCCTTTTAAAATGACTATCAGGAGTTTTTCAAGTATTTATAAGTTTCATGTCTTTAGTATTTGGATTTTTTGTTTAGTTGGTTTTGGTTTTAATTATGGAACTCACTTTAAAAGGATTTTGTTTATTAAGTTGAATTTTATTGGATTGGAATTTTTATTTCTAGTTTTGAATGAAAACTTTTTTTGTGTGTGTTCTTCAGATGTGTTGGCAAGCCAAGAACAGCAGATGAATGAGATAGTTACAATTGATCAACGTGAGTATTCATGCCCATAATATTGGTCCACTGAATCATTAAGAAATCTTTTGATGGGCACGGTGCTACCCACCTATGATTCCATTGACTAGCGTGGCTGAGGCACAAGGATCAATCGCAAGTTGAAGACCAGCCTCAGCAACTTATCGAGGGCCCTAAGCAACTCAATGAGATCCTATCTCAAAATAAAAACAAATAAATAAAATGGACTGGTAAAGCACCTGTGGGTTCAATCCCCAGTACCAAATAGAAGAAAAAAAAGACTTTTTTTTTTAATTACTGCAAGGTAGTAAACATTTTTTATGAAAGATTTTTAGATATACAGAAAAATAAAGTATAACACCTGTGTATCCCATAAGAAATAAAATATGTCAGATTTACCTGTTGTAGATTCCATTTTCTTCCAACGAAAGAACTATCATCAACTTAAGGTTTACAATTTACATAATTTGATTTCTACTAACTATGTTACCATAAACTTTATAGCATTGTTTTGCACATGTTTTAAGGTTTTAGGTGAAGTAGTATTATATTGTGCATATCCTTCTGTAACCTAGCTTTTTTTTTAACATTTATGAGACTAATCTTTATGAATAGTTACAGCTTGACTTCATTTGTTTTCATTGCTGAATAGTATTTTTTAAAATGTATGAACGTCATTGAATTGAGTATTTGTAAGATAGTGTCACAGGGTTTCTACCCTTTCAACCTTAGTAGGTAGTGCCACAGTTTTTCTCAAAGTGGTTATATGACTTTGTCTTGTTACTAGAAGTGTAATGTATGTTATTTGTCCAAATTTTCTCCAACATGTTATGCAATTTTTATTAATAAATATTTAGAAACAAATGTTTTTATAATTCTTTGCCTAATATCTATACTGTTATTTCAAAAATAAAGAGGCTAACTCTTCATTGTTAAGATTTACAGATATTAATGCAAATATACCTCATTCTCTGAAATTGTATAAGTTTGATTCAAAACTGTTGTGAATTAAGTCTTGTGTTGATGTAATTAGAAGAACATTAATTAAATTGATTGCATTTAAGGTCATTCAAGAATTGTTTTTACTACTTGTATTGGAAGAAAAAATTTCTCCCTTTTCTTGCAGCTGTGCAGATTATTCCAGCATCAGTGCAGTCTGCTACTCCAACTACTATTAAAGTTATAAATAGTAGTGCAAAAGCAGCTAAAGTACAAAGAGCCCCAAGGATTTCAGGGGAAGATAGAAGCTCACCTGGAAACAGAACAGGTATTTTTGCATTAACAGGTACTTATAAAATTAGTTATATTTTACTGTATGAAAATGTTAATATGGACTATTCTTTGGGCAGTATTTCACATTATTTTGTGAAAACAAAGATTTTGTTTTGTTGCCCCTGAGATCTGAACCAGGGCATCTGTGTGTTGCCTGTGTCTTGTGTTAATTTGTAACACTATGGACAATAACTTGTCTGTCTTGTTAATTTAGGAAACAATGGTCAAATCCAACTATGGCAGTTTTTGTTAGAACTTCTTACTGATAAGGATGCTCGAGACTGTATTTCTTGGGTTGGTGATGAAGGCGAGTTTAAGTTAAATCAACCAGAACTTGTTGCACAAAAATGGGGACAACGCAAAAACAAGCCTACGATGAACTATGAGAAGCTCAGTCGTGCATTAAGGTTAGCATTTATTGCTTCTTTTTTCCAATATCAAGTCTTTCTAAAAGGTAATTTCATATTCTAGTTGTAAACATTTTATGTAATGATACTAATTATTTGGCTTGTTTATAGATGTTATGTATTTTTAAAAAGCTAAAATTTGTATGTTATGTTAAAAATGACTCTTTAAAAAGATCTTATTAATAACTTTGAGGTACATAAAGTATTTTGAAAATCATTTTTATCTGATTTAAAAGCATATAGTATGCTGTTCAAAACSAGTGTGTTTAATATTTGAGATTTTATCATTTGCATATCAGATAGATGCTGTCATTTACATAGCTAAAATGATCGAATATAAATTTCTTAACAAATATACAATTACTGTCTMTTTTAGAATTAGATGCAAAATATTGTTTCCTTTTTTTTAATTTTTCTTTTCTAAGTCTGCTTAAATGTAAATATCCAACCTTTACATTGATAAAATTGGAAGAGTATAAAATGGTTTGGTATAGTGGTATGAATTCTCTCTCTCCCTCTCTCTCTTTTTTTTTTTTTTTTTCTTGAGTCAGTCTCCTTATGTTGCCCAGGCTGGGCTCTATATTGTGATCCTTCTGCCCTATCCTCCCAAGTATCTGAGATGACAGGTGTGTGCTACCATGCCCAACTTACTAGTATAAAATTTCTATCAGAAATTATAAAATAGATTAGAATAGGAAACCCAAATATAACCAAGAACATATTACATTTGATTTAAAGAAATATGACAGTGGGAACATACGAAGAAAATTTACTTTTCAGTCAGCAGTGGTCGGGTAATTGGCCACTCGTTTGGGGACTAAGGGAGCCAGATGACACCTGACTGCTCCCTTGTATCATACCAAACATCAGTTCCATGTAGCTTGATGATGCAAAATAGGAAAACATCTAGTGACACTTTCATGATTGCAGGTAACAGGTAGAAATATTTAAACAATTGAAAGCACCGACCTGACCATAAGAGAAAAGGTCAATAAAACTTGACTATATTTAAATTAAGAATTTCTGGTCATCAAAAGCCATCATTATTAAGAGTTGGGACTGTAGCTCATTTGGTAGAATGCTTGCCTAGCATGTGTGAAGCACTGGGTTCGATCCTTAGAACCACATAAAAATAAAATAAAGGTATCGTGTCCATCTACTATAAAAAAAAWTTTTAAAGCCATCATTAAGAGTATAAAAAGCAAGCCACTCATATGTGTCATAAGAATTATATCTGAAATATCTGAAGAATCTTAAAATCAATAAGGAAAATTTTTTGTAAATGGGCAAAAGATTTAAGTAGATAATTCAGTTGAGAGATTATTCAGGTGGCCAATAAATACATGCAAAGATGCACCACTTTGTTAGTAATTATGGAAATGAGGTTTGAAATCACAGTAAAATTGTATAGCACATTCTAGGGCCAGGATAATCACAGTTAAGATCACCAGTACCAAGTGTTGATGAGGATATGGAGCAGTGGGCATGCTGCCACACTTTGGTAGGAATGTATAACCTATAACCCAGCAGTTGCTCTTTTTTTTTTTTTTAAGTTGTAGATGGACACAACACCTTTATTTTTTTTGTTTATTTTTACGTGGTGCTGAGGATCGAATCCAGTGCCTCACACATGCTAGGCAAGCGCTCTACCACTGAGCCACCACTGTCTGTCAAGTAGATACCTGAAAAAAAGTGTTCATGAATGCCCTCACACATGCTTATAGCTGCTTGCTAGAATATTTCCAAATCAGAAATAAACCAAATATCTTAGCAGTAGAGGGGATAAATAAGTTGTAGTATATTCATACAATTAAGTACTTTGCATTTATGAAAGTGAACTACTGCTAGAGTGATATTGAGAAACTCACAAACATAATGTTCAGAAAAGAAATCCATACTTTATGAACTCATTTATTTAGTACAGTTTTAAAAAAAAAACAGTTAAAGTAAACTATCACAGTTAGGGATACATATTGAGGTGATTAAAAAAAATAAGCAGTGAAATTACTCTCAGGAAGCAGGCTTGTGTTTACCTTTTAGAGTAGGAGGGATGGTTATTGGGAAGGCACATGGGAGATTCTAGGTGCTGTTATTGTTTGTTTAGAACTGGGTTGATAGAATGTTCACTTTGTAATAAATCACTGAGCAATTAACTTTGTGTCTTTTGTGTTATGTAATTCACAATTAAAAAGGTTTAAAAAGAATTCAAGTTTAAAAAGAAAGAAAATCACATCCATGAAAATACAAGTATTGTGAACCTTTCCACTTTTTCATTTTAGGGAAAGAACAAATGCAATGAATGCTACTATATATAGTTCTATGATGCATCAACTAGATTGAAGAAAGGAAATATTAAGTAAAATGAAAATCTGTGCATGTGCATGTTTTCTTTAACCTCTAGGAAATATGGTATCAATTCCATTTTCCACTTAGGTGAAACCACTTTCCTTCTCGATTTTCCTTTTATTCCTGTGTCTGTTATTGCCTCCTAGTATATTAATGTAGGAATTATCTTAAATTGAAATGCTTATAGCATTTAAAAGTGCATGACAAGAAATTGGTGGTTTTGTAGGCTGAGATCCAAATTCTGTATTAATGCTATGACAAAAAAGAAAACACAGGACTTTGCCCAAATGTGTTAATATCTTTTACTAGGAAATCTAGCTAACTGTTACACTCTTGCTATTCCGGAATTGGGGAGAGATGGCATAATTTGCTATATATAGATCAATCTTTTGATTAATGGATTATTAATTAAGCCTAAGYGACTTTTAGAATAAAATCCTGCTAACTGTATTAGCTTATATCACAGGTACATTGCAAATAGTTGTTCCTTTTGTTGATAGTTCTTTGTCAATGAGCAGTGTGGATGTGTAACCAACGTGATTCTGCAATCTGCATTTGGGGTAAAATTGGGAGTTCATAACCCACTTCAATCTAATGTATGAAATATGATATGTCAAGAGCTTTGTAATGTTGTGAACAACCAATAAAAAAAATAAAATTAAAAAAAAATGAGCAGTGCAATTTTAAGATAAGGGCTTCACAATCTGCCAGCCCAGAAAAGAGCTTGACTTCTCTTTTTTTCCCTCTGTTGTTCAGATTATCAGTGCATAGTGGTAAGTCTTGTTTTCCAAAGTAAAGACAAATCCACTCCTTTTTCCATCTCCATAGGAAGCAACAGCGAGCTAGACTTCTAGAATGATTTCCTCAAATCTGTTTATATAAGGGTTAGAAACATTGTTTCTTTATAATATCCACTTCCTGTTTTTCTGTATTCTCTGATCTTCAAATCCTTTTACTTATTCATTTGAAACCCCTATTGGTTTTGGATGATTTCGCTGAAATTGAGAAAGCCTTTGTATAGTAAAATGATAAATTTAAAGGTAAATCTACATTATAATAGAATTTACACAATTCACAGAAGAGAAGTGGACATCCAACAATCCGTAGAATATGTAAACCAGTTTTTTAATTGTCTGGATTCTTACTTATTAACATAGCATACATTTTTTAGAGGGCTAACTATGTGCCAGTCATTGTGTGCTAAGCACTTCACAAAGATTATCTCATAATCCTCAATAATTCTGTTAGGGTAAGTACTGTTTTTAATCTCATTTTATATGTGAGGAATAAAAAGTTAGAGATAATTTGATTTTCCTGTGGTCCCAAAGGCAGTAAGTCCAAATGCTGGGTTTTGAATCTTGATTTTTGACTCAAAAACCCTGTTAGCATCTTCTGCCATTCATAGGACTTTGTTTTTCTTGTTGTATTTAATAATTATGTTTGATTTAAATCAGTGTTTGATCAGTTGTTGAAAATTTGCTTTGAAAGTTTGGTGTTACTTCAGTGTTAACTGCTATTGTGGTAAGTGTAGTAACTCTTCTAGGCTTCTGCTTATGAAATATTCTGTGAATTCTAAGAAGTCTTAATTCTTCATTTTTTCATAGTTCTAATGTGTTTCTCTCTTTTTAAAGGTATTATTATGATGGGGACATGATTTGTAAAGTTCAAGGAAAGAGATTTGTGTACAAGTTTGTCTGTGACTTGAAGACTCTTATTGGATACAGTGCAGCAGAATTGAACCGTTTGGTCACAGAATGTGAACAGAAGAAACTTGCAAAGATGCAGCTCCATGGAATTGCCCAACCAGTCACAGCAGTAGCTCTGGCTGCTGCTTCTCTACAAACAGAAAAGGATAACTGAGACCCAGGACCTTCTGGGAGTCTAAGGTCTTTCTTAAATATCTAGAGCAAGCATCGCTCTTACCTTTATTACTGAATTTGAATCTTCTTTTATTTCTAGATTGTACAATCTGATGCATGATTTTTTTATAAATATTTCATACTCTTGTGAATTTGGATCTTTTTACTTTGAGCATATATTTTAGAATATGTGTATGTTAAAGGATCACCACAATGTTATACGCTTGAAAGCAGCTTCATTGTGGGATAGTTTGTTAACAGGAAAGCTAAACTGGTCAGTATTAATGTCTAGCCCTACCAAAAATAACCAGTAGCATCTGAAGATGAAACATAAATGAAGTACTCCAGGAAGCAGTCTGGCTTAACTATTTTTGAAAATATAACTGTTTCCTCTCTCTGCTGCTTTAGATGTTGCTTTACATAGAACCAGAAAAATAGATTTCTCAGCTAAAGCATGTGTGCCTGTTTCATCTAATCAAGCAGAGCTAAAATATTCAAATCAATTAAAATTATAATAATATTAATAAATTACTAAGCTAAGAGTATCAGGTTATTAAGGTAATTTATATATTTGCAAGTAAAGGACAATAGGAAGTTGACTAGCAAAGAGCAATGCTAAAGAAGGAGATCCAGGTTTAAATCTGGCTTAACTCAAGCCATTGTTAAGGGTTTTCTGTATAGATTATTCATTATGTCAGACCAAGAATTTAAATTATTTTGAAGGAGGCATTTAATTCTAATAAACCAACTCTTACAAAAATTCTGAAATGATCTCTGTTTTTCCTGTCAGAGATTTAAAAAAAACTGAGAAAGTATACCTCAACCAGAAAATAAAAGTTTGATTTGATGTGACTTTCTTTTTTTTTAATTAATCTACAGTGCTCATTTATTATGCAAAGCAGCTTRTATATTCCTGTGTTTCTGATGAAATGAAGACTTTAAATCAGATAGCAGTACTTTACCTTTTAAAAAGTTAGTAAATTACTTGCAGATAGTTACAAAAGGAAAATTTAACCTCCATTATTTAGGCAGTCTTTAAAATGAAACTTCCCACTTTTAATTTTTGTGTGTTATGTACAAATATCCATATACATGTCCAGTTGACTTCGTTAGACATATGCACATGTATATGAAGGCATAAAGATATTCAAAAGGGAATTTATTAAATAATTTATTTTAAAATGTTAAATAAATCTTTCCTTACTATGAGCTAACACTAAACAGAAATGGCTAGAAAAGTCTCCTTTCTTTTCTTTTTGTTGTTTGTTTTAAGGGATTATGCATGAATCATGATATGAGAGACTGGCAAATAGCTTTTTTGACTGGAGCAAGTTGATCCTCAAATACTTCATACACCTTCTTCTTTGTAAATTTCCTTTCAATTCATCCCCCAAAATAGGCTCAGAAGAGCTCACTTAATATCTGTTGTTGACAAAGTAAGGGGAAAGGGCTGTGGTAATAACAGGCCAGGTGGTACTACCAATACTACATAGGGTTTGGAATGAGTCAGGAAGGGACCCTAGAGACAGGAAGATAAATCTCTTGCTCTACTTTTTTGGTAACCTTAAATCACAATTTTAGCTGTTTTAAAGGACTGCAACCCATATTCATTTATTTTGTTTAAAGTCCTTTAATATTCTGCAAAAATACCTAAAAAATAGTAAAATTTGTACCTTTCATTTTTACTGTTTTATAAACAGTAGACTGACAAGTTATTCTTGCAATTTGGATACTATTATTTGAAGAATATCTGAGTGGAATAACAAAATGAAATACAGAAGCCCTAATGTCAGATAACAAATAGGTATCTATAAAGAACGTTTTGTCTCATCTTACAGCCTAGGGAGTTGACAAGTCATTTACTGTTTTAAAAAATAATAAAGTATACTCTTCTGTTAAATTAGGAGCTTAAAAACTTTACTTTTAGATTTAAAACATTTTTGAGACATTATGTTAAAAGTTTTTAGCCAAGAGGTCGGACTTTGTTTATGTCTCATTTTTATATGTATGTTTTAAAGTCAGGAAATATATTTTTCTAGATCCCTAAAATCAGATTTATTTTTTGTCTCCTATAAGATTTGGAGGTTAGGGTTTAAAAACTACAGTCTATCTGCTGTCTTCTTTTGGCAGTTCTTACTGTTCATCGTAATGTGAACAGGTCTCATACATGATCTGATGCTGTTTCTTTTTCTTCACCATTTTGTGCACCATAACATAAGTAATGTGACTGATTTCTCCAACTGATTCAAGAAGCTTTCATTACTTGTGTCAACTTGTATATAAAATATTCCATTTTTTTAAGTTAACAATTAAGTAGTCTTTTCTCTATTAAAGAACAACTTATGAAAGAAAATAGAATTCATGCTATTCATTCTTTATTTTATGAAGTTTTCATATGTAAGATATATTCAAAGGAAGACATAAAATTGTTGGATCATTTTTCTGTACCTTATTAAAGTACARGAATAATGTTCACTTGTGTTTAAAAACTTATATTCCATGTGAGGTTTGCATAGAGCCAACTCTTATGTATCTTACTAGCCTGAAGCCTGAAAGTCTAATGTGTTGGTGCTGGAAAAATCAAACAAATTAAGCATAATTGCTAAGTGTGGAATTTTCACTTGAGTCAACTGATCCCATACCCATTTGATATCGATCCATGTAAATTAGTTAGGAAAAAWTTTTAGTTGTTTTCTCCCCAGATTAATGGTGATACTCATTAATAAAATTCTTTTAAAGGGTTGTGCCTCTAAATATTTTTGGTGAGGTCTGCTATTTTTTGCATTCATTTTATGCTATTGCCTCATATAAAGAACAGGTATATCCTTGAAATAGCACAAAAATGTTCTAAAATTCATAACTGCGAAACAAACCTGTGACTAACAATGTCTTCAGATCAAAAGGGTATAAAAATATTAACACTTCAATATTTCACTTATTGCCAGGAAAAAAATATTCTCAATCTTTTGTAAAAGGGAGGAAGATTTTTGCATACATTTTTACTCTTTAAATAGACACTTATACTATCATAATAACAATTATGTATTTCTTTGTGGTTTTTTTGTAATTTTACATAAAACAGTTATTTTCTATTTTTACTCAGATAAATATTTGTGGATAAAATGTAAAAATAGTAAAATGAGAAAAATAAAACTATTATACAATATGTTCCTGTGTTGTTAAAATATTTTTTCATGAAAACAATAGTCTCAAATTCCTGGGATGTTTGGTTGGATGAAAGTCTAATAGTCCCTCTGATGTGGTGTGTGTATGATTCCTAATATATTTCTTAAAAACTTTGAGTATGGTGATACCCAGCACCCAGCAAGCACATACTGACGTGAAAGGCGACTATCAATTTGTGAAGAACAGATTCCACTGAAATTAGTTAGTAGGTGTRTAGTCTTTAAGAAAATGAGTGAAATCTCATCCAGAAAGCCAAACTGTTTTGGAACAGTAACAAGTGAACTGATAAGACTAAATACTTTTCCAAAGGAAGGTTGATTATTAAGCTGTAAACCCCTAATTTAGTTTTTTTTTTTTTTTTAATTTAAATCACTTGTTCATGTTGGCGGACTAGCAACAAGATATTTCAGGCAGGTCCAGAATACAGAGGAATGGGAAGGGTTCAGAGGAGAACATCACTTGTGCCTTTATTTATGATCAAACAGTGATCAAACTTTGACATGCTTAAACAAGAAGCTAGTATTTGTGTGAAATAAATTGTCTGAAAATATGCAATCTAATTTACCTAGTTTGGAGTGATGAAAATCATCAACTAAGACAATGTGGTAAATTTGTTGTCAAAGACTTAATTTTTTTGTGTGTATAGCTTTACAGTTATAATTTACAGGTCAAGAATATGTTTAGAATGCTTTTTACTAATAAACTGGTTGCTTTAGGACACTGCTTTTAGAACTTTTTGTTGATAAGAACCATTTTTTAAGAGTTCATAAGTCAGTAGCTTTACTTTAGTCCTTATTTACCTCTTTTTTAAAAATAATTTTTATTTATATATGACAGCAGAATGCATTACAATTCTCATTACTCATATAGAGCACAATTTTTTATATATCTGGTTCTATACAAAGTATACTCATACCAATTCATGTCTTCATACATATACTTTGGGTAATAATGACCATCACATTCCACCATCATTTCTAACCCCATGCCCCTTCCCTTCCCCTCCAACCCCTCTGTCCTATCTAGAGTTCACCTGTTCCTCCCATGCTCCCCCTTCCTATCCCACTATAAGTCAGCCTCCTTATATCAGAGAAGACGTTCGGCATTTGGTTTTTTGGGATTGGCTAACTTCACTTAGCATTATCTTCTACTCCATCCATGTACCTGCAAATGCCATGATTTTATTGTTTTTTATTGCTGAGTAATATTCCATTGTGTATATATACCACAGTTCACAGGCAGGCTTTGCTGCTTTAAATAGTTTGTCATCAAACAAGGAATGTCTTTTTTAACTGATTTTGGCAATGTCATTGTTCTTTGAAAATTTCTCTATAATCTGAGGAATTTTCTTTCTCATGTCTGCTAACAAGTTAGTTTTGGTATTTTCACTCTTTGATACAAATGACACCCAGTTAACACCTATGCTGTTTTTATAGGTGACATCACAGTAATTATGTGTGAATGGAATAAACACTTGGATAAGTTATTGATTATACATCTATAATAACTATTTCACTTGCTTAATAAGTCTATTTATGCAAAAGTTTGGTTCTTAAAATCTCCATACAGCTTTCCTATCTATACTCTTGGTTTTACTTTATGGATGAAAGGTTACAATACCTATTAGTACATTGATAAACTTAACATTGATGTTGGTTGAACCAGAATGTTAATTTCATTGGATGGTTGAAAGGAAGTTCTGCATTAAGAACCCCATGACAAGGTTATTTCTTCAGCTCTGAGGTCACAAAAATAGAAAGGACATTTTATTTTAAATGAAATTGTTTAATCATTAAAATCTGTCTTGTTGGCATAAATGTATGAATTAATTAAAGAACATTTACTACACACCTTCAATCCTGAAAGATCAGAAACAAACTATGGTTGCAGTTTTGACATTAACCAAATGCAAAAACTTGGGGTTCATCATTAACCTCTGTGTTCTTCCATTTTTTGTTTCCTAAGCTCCATCCATTTGCCTACAGTGCAGGGCTGTTGAGAGGATCAGGTAAAGCTTGTTTATGAGTAAGCGTCTTAACAATATATACCACTAAATAGGCACAAAGATCTGAGAAAGAAAAAAGTATCCTCCAAACAAATCC